ATAAAATTTTAGTAACAGGAAAAAATCTGATATTTGGGGAAAATTATCATATAGGGTAGTAATATACAATCCTGACTTTTTTTTGAGAGAGATCTTCACATCCAGTGCGTTCTGGGATGTTTTAGATTTGCAGCATTGGTCCGGTGTGGTAAATTAACACTGAAGACTGAAAATGATATGAACGCTAACTTTATGTGTATACCACTTTTCATAACAATGAAAACATAAAGCAGAGTGTAACAGCTTTACAGTGGCAGAACAACATAAATTTTTCATGTGGTTCTCCAAGAAACAATTTTTATCCTTTATAAAGCACAAAAGTACTTTGCACTTCTGGCAGGTCGTTTGCGTGTAGTCGTTCTTGCACAGTCTGCATCGTCCACGTTTATCAGCATGGATGGGAAAAAAGGCTCCTGAGTAAAAAAAGCTCATAAAATATGGATTTGGAGTAAGTAGGCAATGGGCATTTAGCTGTTGCAAATCTGCAACGCCTGCCTGGAGAGGGTTAAAATGATGAATGAATGAAAATGAATCATAATCACAAACCTATCAGTTCTACCAGTCTGAAGGGGAAATGTACAGGTTTATTTTATCAAAACAAGCAAAAATTAAGCATTTAACACTTCAAAGTTCTAGCTATGCTCCAAAGTTTAACAGTGTGAGGTAGTTAAATACAGGGATTTAACTTTAATCAGTCTTGGGGTCTAACTCGCTATAGTTATTAACACTTGATTGGGCAAGGGACACAGTTTTGATATTAAAGTGCCAACTTCTGTAAAATCACGGTCACTGCTTGGATCAGGTCTCTTACTGGTAGATGTGTGGGCCGTCTGGTTAGTGGCGTAATGGCTGAACAAGAAAGGCCAAGTTTGATCCAAAGCAGGGTACCAGTTGAATCTCCGTTACCGGCCCGAGTCTCACGTGTCACATTCAAGACACGGCGTCGTCTCAGCCGGTCCGCAGGTGCGGGGTAGGTGTTGTTTCGGGCCGAGTCACAGGTGAGGAGCAGGCATCTCTCGAGCTGGGTCACTGACATTACGGTCCACACAGAGGTCCGGAGGAGGTGATGTGTGGTGATGTGTGTCAGAAGGCTGAATTCGTGTGCGTTTTGGAAGTAGTGTCTTTCCACTTTGAGTCAGTTCTCGAATTTCTCACTTGTGCAGCCTTTAACAAAAATAAAAGTCACCAATGACTTAACAAAAGAAAAAAAAATACAGTGATTAAATATTTTGGTTTCAAGGAAAATTAGATAAAGGTTACACTTTTACTTAGAGAATCAGTACGCTAACCTGACTCACCAGCCCGTTTCACTTCATAGAAACTGTCTGACCTCTCAGCATTAGAATTCGTTCCCTCAACAGTAGGTGGGCATTTTTTAAATTTTAACCAATCGCTGCTATTTGGTCATGACAAATCCCATAGGAAGAAGGGTAATAACGTCTTTCCCCTTGATAAAATTCATCAAACATTCTCTTTGTTCTAGCTTTAAATCGTCGATCTTGGGAATCGTTGCCAACACAAAATGTATGACTCTTCGCTGACTGGCTGGTGCCCAGACTTGCACTTCTGGGGTTCTTACAAACTGTGTAGTCTATTCAGATTCCTGACCTAGTCACTGGAGAGAAATGAAATTGAGTAGACGCACTAGGTGGCACTAGCCTGGCTATCAGTACACTTCCTCGCATCCCAAAAGAGACGAGCGGCGAGGGAGGGCTGAGTTAGAATTCACTAGAAACTAGAAAAAGGAGTGGAGAGATGGTGAACGCTTGCCTGGTTTTCTTCGCAGCTGTGGTCAGCAGAACTCATGCAAATCTGGAGCCTTAAGATTGGAGGAGTTTCCTTGTCTATTGTTCTGTTTATGATTTAAAGTTGAATCCCCAAAATACAACTGCTCATAATTTACACAATAACATCGAAAGTGCACAGGAGATCACCTGTGGGCTTAACCAAATTTCATCATTCATCTTAGCTGGTGATAAGATACCGACAATTTCAGTGAAAGAAAATACGAGATTAATACATGAAACATTGTCACCTGTGTAAGGTATCAGCATCGGAAGCATTTCGTACAAATAAACATCAGCATGAAGTGTTACACAGTATACGTATTATTAAAAGAAGTCTAAGCAAAGCAACATCATCACATCAGGAACATCACACTGTATATATATCTTTAGTCCGCATAGTAATTTACTGATTTGGACTCAAGCACGGGGGGGCGTACAGCACCAAGTTTATCCCGGGGCGCCACAATGTCTGGCTGATAACGATCTTGACAGAGGTGAAGTATATTATTATTACAATAACAGAATGTTGATCGTAAACTCAGCATCAGTCTCAGTATAGCGATGTGTTGGTCTTTGAACTCTGGCCGATTACAGGCTTGAAACTGTGAATTGTACATTTCAGCTGTTAAATATACACATTTTTGTGGAGATTTATGTGTGGAGCAAAGGACCCCTGATAAAGTAATGGAGCTCAACAGTCCAGCCCACTTTGAAGTCTACTCTGGTTTCACAAATAACATTTTCATAAATTTTTTCCAGTTCTATTAAGAGTTTAAAGGCACATCATGTTTTACTTATGATGGAAATGTCAATGTCACTGGTTAATATTATATTATGTCATTATATTATGATTAGTTGTTACATTTCCTACATAAATCTGTTGCTCTTATGATATGGACAGGAGCTCAAATGTCTTAGATAAACTGACAAATCATCAGATTTTGGTCCGTGTCAGGTGTGGAGGCCAGGAAGCAGGTTCTGACTTCAGATGTTTTTCTGACAATTTTTAATACGGAAAATCATTTTCCTGAGTTCTCGAGGACCGGATGAACACAGCATTTGTGACTTTTCTGTTTAGTCTTTATGAACTGACCGATCACAGTCCTTACAGCTGGTGGAAATATGAAGCATATTTTCTGTTTGGCCAAGGTTCATCTGCATGGATTTGACACTGGAGTATAAACCAGCCTTCAGTCACACTGGGTAATCACTTTTGAGAATCCTTTGACAATATTATACACAGCCATCGGTAATATCATGAGATCAAGGCAACAAAAAAGCAACTGCAACTGCCTTCTCCGACCTTCATGGAATAAAAGCCATGATGTATGATGGGAAATGCTGTTTAACACTTGAGGGGACAGTAGACTCATTTTGTATTTTGTATTTATTTTGACCTCCATTAGCTGTGTTTCCACACAGCTGTTCTTCACCAGTTCAGCAGTATCTTTCTCTACATTTTTATTGTCAGATAGAAAAGACCCGGGGTGTTGTACAATACAGACAAAAATATTACATTTATGAACTAGATGAGTGAAGTAATTTTCACCACAGATCAAGTCCAAGTTGCTTTACTGTGAGGCCATTATTCTTGTTTTACTATGTATTTGTAAACAAAATAAGATCTTTTCTATGAAATGAATGAAAATAAAGCCTTATTTACTTGGTGTTTCTTTGAAATGGGCTCATTACCTCCATCACACGTTAGCATTATTTCACAGTCTTTATAATTCCTCTAGCTGCTCTCGTCCACACTGTGCCGTGTCTTTGCTGGACCTACCACTGCTGCTGGCTTTCTTCAGGAGCATTTCTGTCATTTTGAATTTTAAGAAGTTGACGACAATGGGCCGCGGTCGCCCACCTGGTTTCAGCTTGAATGGAGGGGTCCTGTGCACTTGTTGTATTTGGGGCTCCACTTCTCCAGGTATTTGAAGTTCTCTTTTAAATAACTGGCTCAATATGTGGTGACTGAATCCTCACTGTCCTTTGGTAAACAGAACATTCAGATGTTATTCCTCTGTAACTTTTTGCCTTTTGATTCGACTGTGTGGAGAAACCTGAAGTAGCGGCCAAACATTCGCTGCTTCAAAAGAAATGATAAAGAGCTTTTTGTTTCATGGTATAAGGGTGAGTGACAGCGCTGGGTGATCTAAGTGAAAAAATGAAATATAAAAATAGAATAATAATTCTAAAACAAAATACAACACAAATACAACAGAATAAAAATAAAGAAAATGGATTAAAATGGATACATCTATAACAAATTTAGTATGTAATATTGGTACATAAAGTAACTATTGATGTTGCAAAGTAATTTATTTTGCTTTATGTAAATATTTGTAAAGTTTCATGTCAATCACACATACAGGTTATTTTTGTAATGTAATAGGCAGATCTCAAATATTTATTTATTGATACTGACAAAGAAATAGAAAACAGATTTCTAGATTGTATCTATTTTTTTTAAATTTTTTGAAAACCAATTATAACTGATCAATACACGTGTTTTCAGCCAAATTAAGTTTAGATTTAAAGGTGCAACTTTTCTAGTGGAGGGTCTGACACCTGAATGACTCCAGAGAGACTGGACCTTGAATGTTCCACTGTCTGACATTACATGATCATGAAAAACATGCACATTTTCCTCTCCAGAACTGGCCTGTAATTTAGTATAATCTGTTGTCTCCATGGAGATGATCTTAAGATTGTACTGGAGAACATTCAGGTAAATCATCCTCATTGTTTCCTTCTTTTGTTGGTTCTTTGATCCATTTCAGTTTGAAAATGGCCTTGGGATTTTTCTCCTTAAGTTTTTCTTGGACCTGTATCAGAAACAGTAACAGTGTAAAGGAGATTGTACAGGACTGAACAGAGGACAGTGGAGACGCACCAGTTTGATCAGTTGTTCTCTGACGTCCGCTTCACTCAGGTCTCCTTGGGTCTGGAGTCTCATCTTCGTGTGGAACACAGTGGCCTCCTTTATCACTGCACACACAACAACAGTCAGGAAACTTCTGAAGTTTAGTGACGGCAACAGAGGTAAAAATAAATAAATAAAAAATACTGTACTGTGTGCACAGGAAAGAGACAAATAAATCAATCAATAAATAAACAACTGAACAAGGAGGACAAGGCGAGTTATAAAAGTCAGCAAAGCCAAAGCTGTCAGTAAAGATTTGGGTAACTATACCTTTGTGACAGATGAACGCAAGTTTACCACTGCACCCTGTATCCTGCATGAAACCGTCTTGAGCTATATCAGTACAATGTTGACTGCCTCCGTAGTTATTAGGTGATCCTGGAAGCCACTTCCTGTAGCTGCTACTGCTGAGGTCAGACCAGAGCCACGGCTCTCGGTACAGACCAATCCAGGTAGCAGTCTGTCCTGCCTTGGCCCCCAAAGCCTGGTTCTCAGCTTCACTCTCAATCATTGCCAGGTCCTGGTACTGCTGTCTGCAGACACTCTGGCATTCAGCCCACGTCCTATATATGTTTTTTATCAGAAAGAACTCTTTGACGCCTGATTGATCTGAGTACAAAAATAAATAAAAAGTAGGAATGAAAAGAAAGTGGTGTGTTTTAAACAACAATATAACAACAGCAATACATTTAACAATGCGCAATGTAACTATATAATAATAATATAACAATACATAGAATATAATAGGCGTAGAATAAAAATCGTTTGCTCAATACTTTGCTCAAGTGATTGATCAAAACGGCAAAAAGGATTATTTTTACCTCCGCCAAGGAGGTTATGTTTTTGCCGGCGTTTGTCTGTTTGTCTGTTTGTTTGTTTGTTTGTTTGTTTGTTTGTCTGTTAGCAACATAACTCAAAAAGTTATGGACCGATTTTGATGACATTTTCAGGATTTGTTGGAAATGTGAAAAGGAAGAACTGATTTCATTTTGGGGGTGATCCGGAAGAAATCCTGGATTCTGGATCACTTTGAAATTTTAGTTAACATTGTGGTAAATGGGGCCAAAAATTTTGTTTCTCAATATCTTGGTTAATTATTGACCAAACCCCATGAAATTTGACTCAGGGATGGACAATGGGATCCTCTTTCATATTCCAAAGGCTGATCCGGATCTGATCCAGAAGACTGATTTTATCGCAATTTATATAAAAAATGGGGGTAGTCCTTGGCGGAGGTCTGCGCTCTCTGACTGCTTTTCTAGTTGTTCTTGTTTCAGCCTGAGCAAAAAAATAAGAAAGATTAAAGGACGATTTGTCTTTTCACTAATTTACCTTTGTAACAAGCACAAGGGGCAGAGCCTTTACATGAATAGTCTGCCCACATGTTGTTTTTTATATAAACACAGGATTCTCCAGCATTATAATTATCTGGCTGAGTTAAAGCCCAGTTCTGGTATCCTCCAGGGCTGGTGGTCCCAGTAGCAGACCATCTCCAGGAATTGGGGTCAGCAGTCATGACGTTCTTCCATGCAGCAGGATTATCATGAAGACCAATCCAAGCCCACTGACCAGACGGAATTGCAAGTTTAGACAAGTCCTCCTCTCTTTCTATTGTGGCCAGGTCAGTGAAGTTCTCTCTGCAGTACTGCTGAGCCTCGCTCCAGGTCACGGGTGTGTTGATGAAGTGGTACTCGTAGATCAGGCAGTGAACCAATGGGACAAAGATTACCCCATGACCTACAATTGAAAGTCCTGTTATTGACTGAACTCTGTAAGCAGAAGGAGCATAATCTTTGACAGTAGTGCCACTCATTTGGTCTCTTGTGTGTAACTTCAACCCAGTATCCTGCGGTGATTTTTGTAGGTTGGCAAGCAGACTGGTGATGGACTTCAGTATTTAGCCGAAAACTATTTAATAACACCACAATATAAACCAAGTGTATTGCAAATGAGTCTATTTATTTTTACTGATATTGCTTATATACTGAGCCATTTTGGAGTTAAATTAGAAAAGCTTAAACCAGGGGTGGGCAATTATTTTTTCTATGGGGCCACATGAGAAACATTGTGGGGATGAGCCAAAATGCTTAACATGAGCCAAAATGCTTAACACAGTCCTGCATAATATTAATTGTATTTCTTTAAAAAAAAAAAAAAAAAAAAAACAGTAAATAGTATTTAGACAAACTGGTAAGACTTGTAAGAGTTTATGTTATGACTAAGAAATGAAAAAGTGATGTTGCCTTACAAAAAAATTCCATTAAAAAAACATCTCTAAAATAAAAGCAATGCAGCTTTAGTCCATGCATGAGGTCAAATTATAAAATTGTTTATTTTGTAATTCCAAATGACCTTAAACGGGCCAGTCAGAGTCAATCAAAGGGCCGTATGTGGCCCGGGAGCTGCACAATGCCCAGGTCTGGCTTAGACCTACAGTTTATTCATGGTTGTATAATATACATTATATTGGACTGTATTTGACACTCTGTTTGTTTAGAAACAGGGCTTGTCAGTGAGCTGTTTGTTTTGTCACAAATGCGTCCTACTTTTACATTTTATTTATGTATATTATCCTTAATAAATAAACATAATAATAATAAATATTACATTTTCTTGTTTAATGGTTCTTATGTCAAAATTTGTTTACAGAAACATTAAGCATGTAAAATATACTTATCTAGGAACTAAGATCATTTTAGATTCAAATACTATTAAATTACATTTTTAAAATAAAAATCTGAAATCATTTGAAGTAACCCCTGGAAAGTGTAACTCTTACCGTAGAGGATACAGACCAACAGAACTTTTCCATCCATGTCCAATTATTTACCTGAAAAACAAACATCACAATCAAATGAATTAGGTGGTTTGGAAAGTGCCTATCTGTTTTACAGTCAATAACTGACACAAGTAAACCACTAAAAAGATGCGCTGAACCCACTCGGTGTTAAGTGTAAACTACTGTCACTTAAGTCCTAACTTTGATCGGAGGTGTTAGTAAATATTAATGCATCTTTAGTCTTAAGTTGAAACCAGAGAAATCCTAGTCATTTAAATAGTTTCTTCAAAAGTCATTCCTTACCTTGATGAAACGCACAGCCACAGTGACCTGTGAGGTGAGTTTTATACTGTCTCATCTTTCCGGTTTTATATCCTGTCATTTGCTTGTCACTGCCAGCCAATCTCACTTTGGTTTATCATTTCATTTCAATGAGCTCTCTGTCTCTCTCCATTCCATACAGGGGGAAAAAGTTGTTTTCTGGTAGGTGTCTAGTGCCTTTGAGAAATATCTAGAAAAACTCTCAGTGTGAGCTGGCTGTTTTCATGGAAATAGATATTTATGGCTTTCATTCTCCACTGAGATATGCAGGTAGCACACCCCCACCCACCACTGTACTTTACTTGGTTATGTAGTGTGTACTTTTTTTATATTGCAGCCAACTGGGGACTCCGTTGTTCTACTGGGGGACTTCAACGCCCATGTGGGCAATACTCTCCGTACTCTCCATCGGGTGTTCAAGGGATCTGCAGAAGACATTCTACCGTGTCCCTCGTGGTGTCCTGTGGGGGGAGCTCTGGGAGTATGGGGTCTTTGCCTTTGCTAAGAGCTGTTCAGTCCCTGTATGACTGGAGCAGGAGCTGTGTTCATATTGCCAGCAGTAAGTCAGACCTGTTCCCGGTGCATTGTGGACTCTCCCAGGGCTGCCCTTTGTCACCGCTTTTGTTCATTATATTTATGGACAGAATTTCTAGGTGCAGTCAGGGGCTGGAGGGGGTCCGGTTTGGGGACCACAGGATCTCATCTCTGCTGTTTGCAGATGATGTTGTCCTGTTGGCTTCATCAAGCCAGGACCTGCAGTGTGCACTGGGGCAGTTTGCAGCCGAGTGTGAAGCGCTTGGGATGAGGATCAGCTCTTTCAAGTCTGAGGCCATGGTTCTCGACGGGAAAAAGGTGGCTTGCCCTCTCCGGGTGGGTGGAGAGTCCCTGCCTGAAGTGGAGGAGTTCAAGTATCTCGGAGTCTTGTTCACGAGTGAGGGGACGACAGAGCCTGAGGTTGACATGAAGAGGGAGCTGAGCCGGTCGTCGAGAGGAAACAGCTGAGGTGGCTCAGGCATCTGTTCTTGGTGCCTCCTGGCCCTGCCCTCGGGAGGTGTTCCAAGCACGTCCCACCGGGAGAAGGCCCCGGGAAAGACCCAGGACACACTGGAGGGACTATGTCTCTCGGCTGGCCTGGGAGCACCTCCCCCCCGGCGGAGCTGAAGGAAATGGATGGATGTTCAATTCCAGGAGCAGTGGAACCTATAAATCAGATGTAGTGAAATTATTTGTTTTAGAAAGTTACACAAAAAAGCTGGAAGTTTTGCTTTCAGTTCTCATCATCAGGTGAAATAAATTAGTCAAATAATGGTGGGTGTTAGCATACTTTTCAATTTGTATTTTTTTATTTTATATTTTTGCATCTCTAGGTGGATTTCCTGGGGTTGTTTATATGTCCTCTATTAAACTAAAACAAGCATAGTAGACTAAGCTCTTGACGAGGTATTCCAGACGAGTATTCAGGATCTGAAGTTGCAATGAAGTCATATGAGGACAGATGGCAATCATTTTCTCTATCTTTTTAATATAAATAGATGAACTTATCCCAAATCATGACACAAATCTCATATCTGAAATATTTGTGTACCACTTTAATAGAAATAACAAGAAGTTAATGTGTAGTACACCCTGGTCTGGAAATTTTGATTATCCACTCAGTCTATTTGTGCATGTTTTTGAACCTGGGAGCAATTGAGTGAGACCAGGAGTCTAGTCCACAACCTCCTCACAGAGAGGAGATAGGCTAACCACTCTGCCACAGTAACACAGGAAGGACATGCACACTCCACTCAAAGATATTGCAGCTCTGTAACAGCTTGCCCTTCTAGCTATGATTTGAATTTAATATAATATAATATCATATCATATCATATCAATAAAATACCTGTTCAAAGAGGATTAACTCTGTTTTTTTTGTAGAGGAAACGCCAAGGTAGGTTGACGTTCCCACCGCTAATGTTTTATTCCAGAGTGCCAGGTTGCCTGGACCTGATGGCTTTACCCCTGAATTCTACATGACAATTTCTCCTCTGCTTAGCCCTTTTCTCAAAGACATGTATAATGAGGCTTTTGCTCTTGGTCACCTTCGAGATACCCTGTCGGAGGCCACAATCTCTCTGCTTCTTAAAAAGGCCAAAGATACCCCGCTCTGTAGCAACTACAGACCTGATTTTTCTTTTGAACACTGACATTAAAATGATGTCAAAGGCTCTTGCTCCACGTCTGCAGGTGTTTTGTCACCAGTTACAGACCTGGAGCAGAAAGGCTTTATGCCAGGTATGTAGTCTTCATGCAATACTAGATGTCATGTTACTTCTCTCAGCTCTTTGGTCCCCGAAGTTTATGTCTCCAGATGTGGAAAATGTCTTTGACAGCGTGGAATGGAGTTTCCAGATTTGGATTGAGCAGGGGCTTTCTGGCTTAGCTCTGTACCTCACTGTCCTCAAAGGAGCAGCCCATGGCTTTTAGGTGGAGATGTACAGCAGACTGAGGTCCACTGCTGCTCTCTCGTCTGTGTTGGTACATCCTCTTGTGAAGTGGCTGTTTTATTTCACATTGCTTTGTTTGTGGTTCTGTGTTTTGTCCTTTGGGTGGACCAGTTTCATCTTAAAGTGTTTGTAGGTTTGAAAAAGACCGGGATCTCATGTTGTCTGAAAATCCTCTGTAGTTTTTCAGAAACACCAGCCATGTAAGGAATAGTTGGGTCTGGTCAAGTGGTAACGGAGGGAAACAGGGGCAGATTTTTTACATTCAAATGTCTCTTATTCAGAAACTAGAGGGACTATTGAAATAAGTAAAGTATCAGAATGTAGGAAAGAGTTACACTCCAACAGGGTAAAGTTAAACCTGTGATATTCTTTCAAGTTGTTAACAAAAAATTAAAAAACTCATGTTGGTAACGGAGGGAATGAAATATGCAGCACTTTTTGGGCAATAAATACAAACAGTGATAACTCTTGGTTCTCACTTACATATCCTTAACAAACTGGTTTGAATATTTGCTTCATATAGTTTTCTACCATATGGTACAAGATTAGGTTGAAAAACCTCTTACTTTTTGAGTAATGAGATTTTTTATTAAGAAAGGTCATGGTAACGGAGGGAAAAGTAACGGAGGGAAAATTGTTCAAACAAGTAGAAGGTGCATGATTTTGCATAATTTGTCGCTTTTTTCTTCTGAATACTTTAATATTACTTCAAAATGAAAGGAAACTATTTCTATAAAATATGTCGGTCCTTCCAAGCAAATTTTTTATCATTTTAAATTATTTTTTGGGGGAAAATCATGTACCTTCATCAACAGTTCAAAGATGGAATAACACAAGATATGATGAAATACATCCATTTATTTACATGATTTTCAGGTCTTTGAAATTTGGGGAATAATTTTTGTTCCATGTTTCATACATGGTCTGTTTAAAACGTATGTAACTTTAGAACCAAAAATGGTACAGAAAAAAGGTAAACAGTTTCATAAAGTAGAGTACATATGTATCTGTTCAATACATTTTTATATCAGATGCATTAACTTGAATTTTTGGCCTTGCTGTTTACTTCTGCTTGACCGGGCCCAGTTACACCCTTTCTCCTGGGTTCTGGTTCTGTGTTGTCGTCTTTGTTTTATTGAAAGCCTATTTTGGATCTCCACAGAGAGGGGGCGCTCTGCACATTGTTCTTCTTTCTCCTTTCCCTTTGTGCTTATAGGAACCACTTGGGCCCTGTGCCGTAATGTTCCAATAAGTTCAAGTTTGTGCTGCAGTGGGTGGTGTGAATCAAAAAGCAGGTATTGGTCTGAGTCGCTAGTCTTCTTACTTCTACTGTACAATCTAAAAAAGCCAGTGTGTTCACCTTAACCTCTACACGAGTGAATTTGATGTTTGGATCAACAGCATTAGGAGTCAAAGGTTCCAAATTTAGAATTTTGATTTTAGAAAAGTTATCAACACGCTTTATAAGACCAAAAAGACAGACTCACCATTGATTCAGACAATCTTTATTTGTAATTTTATGACAAACAAGGAGCCATACTGTAATTTTACAAGGTTCATCGATCAAAAAGTTCCTCTTCAAAATCCCCAAACATTAACTGAATGTACTCAATTTCAGTATTTGCTTCTGGTTTTTATTTACTTCAAAAATGCATCTTTGTACAGAAAAAAAAAAAGTTTAGAGAAAGAGAGAGCTACATATTTCCACAACAGACAGTTTTGGGCTGTTGGGATTCAGCTTCTCAGAACGAGGCAGAAAAAGCTACGGAGTTTAGCTTTAGCACTTAAATTTTTTATGTATTTTTTTAATCGTGATTGCTGTCTTACTTTAGCCCAAGTCAACATAGTCAAAAAGTGGTTATACAAGGCGTATTTACAAGCTTTATCAATAGGTAGCTAATGTTATCAACAGCTAAGAAGTGAGTTAAAAGATGAAATGGTCCAAATAATAGTATGCACGAAAGACATAATAATAATAATAATTAAAAAAAGAAAACAATGGAAGGACTGGTGGAGAAATCTGTGCTGTGATTGGCTGGTGAAAGTTGGAAAGAAGTGTTGTCATTGGCTGAAAAATCCTGAGGTGCACAAATATGACCAATGACAAAGGAGAACAAATATATTTAACCGTAGATATAAACATTTACAAGATACGATAGGTTCAGATTTGTTCAGATTTAATGCAATTTTCTCTACAGTAAAATCAAATAAATATTTAAGAACACATATTATGCAAATGTTACTTTTTTGAGATTTTAACCGTGTCATACTGTCGTTCTCGTCAAAAAAAAAATACGCCCAAAGTTGTCTTCTCTGAGCGCTCTTTGCATTCGCCAGTTTTGTTGCGTCACAGGTAAAACTTCGGACTTCTATTACACAGTTTTTAAGTCCTTAAGCATCTCTCAGATTCGAATCGTGTTCACAATAGTATTCACGAGGATAAAGCTTTAATTTGTTTACTTTGTCACTGCTCATAGCTCCAGTGCTTTAAATTCCACATTGGAAACAGAAGTGAAGTTTATAAAGTACATTTTTTTTTGAGTTTGAAAATGAGAAAGGCGACCAAAAGAATTAAAGAATGCATTATATGTGTTCTTTAAACATTTTATCTATTTTTTTTCTTTGTCAGTTTACTACTAAGATGTGTTTTGATTGTATGCAAATATAAAAACCTTACATAAAGATGATTGGAAACCTACTTACTTTACATTTTTATTTATGTGTTTTGACAAAATTTGTAAATTTGTCTGCATAGGGACTAACAGCCTTGCAGTCACGTGATTTTAGCAGTGGTGGAACGTAACAAAGTACAAAAGTAAAAGTACAAGACTTAAGTACATCTTTTAGGTATCTGTACAATTCACAGTGGATACTTTTTAGTTTTAGTTCACTACATTTGATAACAGATTTCTGTACTTTCTTCTCTACTACATTTTAGATCTGGACTGAAAAGTTAAAAGTGCTTTTCTTTATGGTTGGGACCTGCTGGAAAAGCTTGAAACTTATTTTTTGCACATTTAATTTGAGTTAACTTCCAACTTTGAGCAAATCCAATACACAAAAACAGCAAGAAAAATTAAGAAATCGATTGAATGTCTTAAAATCAGCCAGATTCTTTATCAAAATCACCACATTTGATGCTTTAATGGTTCCGAAGAAGCTCTGCAAAATACGAAAAGAACATTTTTAATCAGTAGTTTTACAGTAGATATTCATGTGATGCTTTTGCCCCTGTATCTGTACTTTTACTGAAGTAATAAAAGCGAGTACTTCATCCACCACTGCGTTTTAGTAAATTAGAAAGTAAATTGTAAAAGGCACTAACTCATTTTATTGAAATGGACTAGGAGAGTATAAAACATGATTACAGGTGAAAGAGGTAGTGCAGGACTGGGCAAATTCAAATGTTTTTTTTCCTTTACTCTCACAATATTTTTGCTTTTTTTTTTGTGTTAATTCTTATGATACAAAATTGAGTCTAGACTGGATTGTAACCAAGCATCAGATCGTATATTGTGGACTGTATATACTGTGCTTTTTGCGTACTGGTAGTGGTAACTTTGAAAGGGTTGTGCACTTTTGACACGTTTTTGTGAGAATGTTAAAAAGTGGACATGTACGTCGATGGTTCACAAAAGCTCCCTGTTGGAATAATAGAACAAATAGCACCACCAAAAATGATACAACGCGAGTAATGAGCAGAAAAGTTGAAAATAAGCCTTTCTTTCTTGTTATAAAAGGTGTTCTGTGTAGAGATGTCTATGGTACAGAATCATGTTTAAGCTACATACAGCAGAATGTCTATAAATATACTTAAATCCTAATGCTATTTAATTTACACAAGGCCTGTCCGGTTTGTAGATGAAATCCAGTTTTGGTGCGAGCTGAAAAAACTTTGAAATGACAGGCACTTTCAAATATCGAGAAAGGAACAAAACATTTACATAAAAAAATAAAAAATCAAATCAAATAAAAATGTGATCTGTTAAATGAATAATATTTCGCTTGTGTGCAAACGTCGGTACAAGTACAAATTTTCACACTCGAGTGAAAAGTTGGCCCTTTAGAAACAAGTATAAAATGAAATCAGATTTTACACTAGAAAATAATTTTAAAGGTAGTTTGTATTCGGAAAGCTACATTCAGTTAATTGTTCGTAAATTAACCGGACAAACAAACAAAAAAAAGTAAAATTCAATGTTAAAAAAGAGAAAAAAAAAACATAAATAAATAAAATAAAAATTAAATATTCCTGGGAATGTAAAAAAAAAACAACTAAAAAACTAAAAACTCATGAGTACATTTAGCTATGCATTGGACCCACCACTTTGAGCAAGGAGATGTTTTATTTTTTATTATTGAAAAATGTTTGAAGAGTTAAAAATGCCCGGTAAATTCAATTAAAATTAGCAAATTCCGATAACAACATTTCCACGATACCAATGCAAACCCAGGCTGCACCTCATGAGCCTCAATCTTGTACATAGCATGATCGTTCAAGTAAACACCTTTTTGCACCAGAAACAATTAAAATCAACAACAACAACAAAAAAAAAAAAACGTATAAAATGTTCCAAATCAGACCATGGAGAATTCCGGTTTGTGAAAAAGTAGGTCCATTTTGTTTTGACGTGATTAAAAAAAGCTAAAAAGAGTCCGTAGAATACATATAGCGATGCATGCTCTTCAGAATAATAATTAGAAGCCATACGCTTTGTGCTAATTTCATTTAACCGTCCCATAAAAGTTTGTGGGGAAAGTCTCGTCCTGCTTATTCCAGATGGTTGAAACTCCAAAATGGCTGCCAGTCCAACGATGCTAAAAACGATGTAGATAGTCTTTGAGTGTAGTCGTCAATGTTGACATCTTTGTAGTTTATGAGGTCGTGGTGCTGGTAATAATAATACAGACTCAGATGTACAACCCGGTCTCGTCTGATTTATCCGCAAATTGGTCAATACTTGAAAAAAAATTTAAAGGGACAGACCGGAATTTTGGACATAGAGCCTCATTTACTAGTGAGCCAGAGTGTTGGAGACGTGTGGAGTAGAGGTGAGATCGAGCCTAAAAAATCCAGCCCGACCCGACCCGGCCCGCGGGTATTAAAACCCGACCCGGCCCGAGCCCGACCAATTAACTTGATTTGCAGGCCCGAGCCCGAAGCAAACCCGAAATGTCATATTTTATTTGTGAGGACTCGGGAGGAGGAGCAGTGCTCAGCGTCGAGGTGCCAGTCTTTTTGCTCTCGTATGAAAGCAAAGCGCCACATTGACGACATTCAGCGAAGCCAACGCAAGTTTCTGTAGCATTTTCAACAATCAATTTGAAGCTTTTCCACACCTCACTCTTACCGGTGCGTGTTTGTCTTTTCAGTTCTCCTGCCTTTAGTTTAACTTCTTGCTCCTCCATATTGGGGATACCAGGTCAAAATAGATGCAGACTTGCGGAGGGGAAGATTATTAAATGAAGAGGGGGCGTTCACGTGCGCAGAGCTCTGGCTCTGCGGATCCTGTTTAGTAGTTAAATAGCAATTACATTACATTACTTCTCTGTTTTATCCATATTATTTATTTTATAACAAGTATTCCTTAGTTTAGTATCCACACATCGTTTTAGCATACATTTTATAAACATATATTTATTTGAAGCCCGAGCCCGACCCGACCCGAATCCAGTCCTTGTATTTGCGTAAGTCAATGGTCGTAGTTCTCCTGCCACTAAAAACAGTCTTACCCACTCCACAAAACACCCGAAGCAAATCTATTATTACACCGGACTGTCGATGTGAATGTCTGTGTTGATGGAATAATGTCTGAAATAAAACTAACCTTGCATCGCGTGAATCGTCGCATGTTGAGGGACTATTTTCTCAACAGCAGCGGAATTTTACTTTGCTGGTAAGGTAGGTGCTACGTGATATCAGTCCGCCGCTTCTAAGCTTTCTATTAGAGCCCGGACGCAAAACAGTGCGGCGCGGGACACATTTTGAAAGCTCAATGCGGGAGCGGGCGGGTGGGATGATAAACGACTATATAAACTAAATATGAGTGTAAAGTAAAATATACAAATGATTAATGTTTGCCTATCATGCGTAATTTGTGCTGGATATTTTATTTGGCATTATATGGTGTAAGAAAGCCTTCATATTTGTGTGCATAGGATAGATATTCATGCATATTTGGAAATCTGTGCATATTTGGCTGTAGTTGAGCATAAAATAAATATTTGTAAACTCTCGAACAAGTTCAGTCGTATATAAAATGTGTTGTGTGTATTTTATCCATCAGAACACGAATTGGAAATTTATGACATCAAGAATTACCATCACGAAATGAAAATACGATTATGCTTTCTTCAGTACGAATACAAACATCCTGGTCTGTATGTGGTACAAAAGTCCGGCAACTCAATTGATGTTTTTTCTGCTCAATAAATAATGCCTGTGAAGCGATGACGTATTTCTGACAGTCGAGTCGCGTCTGTGAATTCGTAATCGTACTGAAGAAAGCGAAAATTTTCATATCGTGATTGTAAATTCTTGATGTCGTAACTTTTCAGTTCATATTCTGTTGGATAAAATACACACAACACATTTTATATACGACTGGACTCATTCGAGAGTTTACAAATATTTATTTTATGCTCAATTACAGACAAATATGCACGGTTTCTATCCTATGCACATGAATATTTCTGCAAGTTTCCTTACTCCATAGCATTAATAAAAACTTTTCAAGCAGCCTAAATGTGCATATGTGGTCTAATCTCGCACGCATTTTGGACATTTGGACAAAATATTACAGATGCGGGCGGGAGCGGGACTGAAAATTACAATTCTTTGCGGCGCAGACCTCTACTTTCTGTCACGAAGTACAACTCGCTGCTGCTCAGACATAAATCCTTCAGATGCAAGGTTGGTTTTACTTCTAAAATTATTTCATCAACACAGACATTTACATGGGTGTAATAATAGATTTGCTTCGGGTGTTTTGTGGAGTGGGTAAGACTGTTTTTAGTGGCAGGATAAACTATGACCATTGACATGCACTAGTCTAGCACCAGTGACCTCTGCAAATACAAGGACTGAATGAAATATTTTTAAAAAGTGTCTCCACACGTCTCCAACACTCTGGCTCAGTAGGAAATGAAGCCCTATGTCCAAAAGTCCGGACTGTCCTTTTAAAACGCCAATAAACTGAGTTACTTGCCACACAAACCATAATATTGTTAAAATGAATTGTACGTAATACTATAAACGTGACCAAAACGTGTCCTCAGATACGAGGTAAACAGGTAGCTTTTACTGATCACAATTGTAACACAGGTTTATTCTTAAATTATAAAAAATCTCGGACATGGTGGCGAAGTTATAATTTGGTGTTTTAGTTCTCAAGACGATCATCCAATCAGAAAGCAGAGTGAGCCTCACATGATTCACAAATATTCAAAGCTTCACCTAAGCGGAAAAGTCAAAAAGGTTTTTTCCAAAGACTGCGTTGCCAGATATGAAGTTGCCTGTCCCGTTATCAGTGTGTGGCAGTGAGTTTGTGAGTGGGCTTTCTCTAACACTGGCAGTGCGTTTGTGTAGCCTAGTCTGAGGTTGTGTAGCGGTGGCAGTGGTGTATTGCTCGGGTGCACAATGGTAAGAGCTGGCAGAAGTCACTCGGTACTGGTCTCCGCTTTCTCCTCTGCGCACGTGCCGGACGGGGAGGGGGCGGGCTCCGGGGGGCGGTGCTTGCACTGACCCAGAGAATGGCGCCCGCTGGGTCTCGACGGTCTGGAGAAGCCGCAGTCGCACGGTGCATCCTGGGAAAAAATGGAAAGACACGTTGTACTTTGCTGCTTATGTCATCAATACTACCTGGGGTCTGATGTTAACTGTGGGCATGCTCTGTCTGACGCTTTGTTAGACTTGTATTGAGTTTTGTTTTAATCTGGCCAGAAAGAACAGAGTTATTTAGAACAGATGAGTTCATTTGTGCTGTTAAAACTATTTCCTCTCACACAACATTTGCCACGTTTACATGAGAGCTTTAATTCTGAATAAAAAAAATAATTTAATTGTGAATAACAGTTAATTCTGCTTTAAAAAGACCATGTAAACAATTCCTAATGAAAATGATTATTCTGAATTAAACTTAATTCCGAAGTAAGAGGGTGGCCAAATGAATTTATTCCTCGATCATGTACCTTATTTTCCGCACTATTAGGTGCTCTGGATTATAAGACGCACTGTCATTAAATGGTCTATTTTCGAACTTTTTTCACAAATAAACCGCACTGGACTTTAAACGAAACACAACAGTTGGATGGATCAGTGGTTTTGTTTGTTTGTTCGTTCACGGTGACTCTGGGCTTTGTTCAGTTGTGTGGCGTGTAGGGAGGGTGCTGTCTGGGACCAACGGATTGTCGGCGCGTTCGCAGTGACTCAGTTGTTCAGTCGTGTCTAGAAGTGGCACATTGGACTCGATTTTTCGGTTCGTTCCTCCGTTCCGTTCCTTGTCCGCGTGGCGTGATGAGTGTGCCTGCGAGTGTGTTTTGCTGTGCGGTCGCTGTCTGCTCCGTGTGTGTTTGCGTGCGCTGCGGGTGGTGCGGCTTTGTAGTTTACTGAAGTCGTGCTGGGACACCTGAGTGGATTCGTGTATGGGGCGCTCTGGATTGCGGCACGCAGTCGTTTGTTGATGGGTTGGAGGCTTAAGAGCCTAATAGCCCGGAAAATACAGTAAACCTTTATTCTTCTTAAAAATAATTCGTTGTTCAGTGCATGCTTGTTGATGTTCCAGCTCCACCAGTCCCCACTTCGGACTTTCATCCACTGTTCTTTGGATTTGCGAGCGGGATGCGGGAGTGGGCTGAGGTAGAGCAGCCGTTGACTCAGTTTGTCTTCTTTCTCCCTTCGCCAACGCTCTTCCCTTCTTCTCCTTGGCTGACAGACGTAAAGCGTAATGAGAGAAATCTCCAGCTGCTGTTTAGTTATCATCGGAACTATTGCGAATTGTATCATGTCTGTGTCCGTGGTGTAACCGAGATAACAAAAAAGCCGGTAGCAGCTGAAGTGTGTGTTTTCTTCCGGTCGACGTAAATATGTTTGTGTCCCTGTCCAATCAAAACCCTTCTCCACCCCCAGACATTAAGCGGAATTAAATAAAGGCAATTTAACATGTTTTCCATGTAAACCTCATTTCAAGCAATTTATTCCGAACTATTTAATTCAGAACAGTTCGTTCGGAATTAAAAAACATCATGTAAACGTGGCCATTATAAGATAGCTGGCATTAACCAACAGTTTTTCACTTAGTCTCTCTCAGGTTTTTGTTGAAAATCAAGTATAGGCCTCTGCAAGATATTTAAAGGTGCATCGTGCAACTTTTCTGGTGGAGGGTCCGTCAGGTGCTTGTTTCTATGAATATGTCCCTGCTCTGCCTGGAATGTTCCACAATGTGAGATTAAACAACTCTGACTTATATTTATCCAATTACAGGTGGTTTTATTGCTCAAAAATACCTAGAAAAACAGGCATTCTGACTGTGAGCGGGGTCGCCTCTCCACAGACCTGACCTGTAACTTGGTCTGATTTGGTGTTCATGATGATAAAAAGACCATAATGTAACGTTTCACAGTATAGTATTAAACTTTTTTATTGTCTTTTTATCTTTTTCAGACAAATCAATAACATTTCCATGGAGAAAAGCATTTGACGGACCCTCCACCAGAAAAGTTACACAGTGTACCTTTAATACCAATATACAAAAAGTGGAAATATTGGCGTGATATTTTGACCAGCCTATTATCGGTCTATCTTTAATAGTTTCGTTCTCACCTCTGCCCCAGCTGTGCCTCCTCCCATGATGCAGCCCATCTCCTCTCCGGCCGTCTGCCTCATGAACCTCTTGTTGACGATGCGCGTGACCGGGTCTGGGGCTGCGCCGAGTCCCGCCAGCGTCCCCAGCCCCGCCGCGCCCGTCCCCACCGAGAAACACTCCGGCTTGGGTTCATCCACGCCTCCCAGGGCCTCCCGCTGGCACCTCTCCACGGACACGGACACGGACACGGACACGCCTGCCTGGGTCCGGCCGCCGCACACGTCCCTGTACATGTCCTGGAGCCCTCCGTAGCGCTCACCAGAGGGTTTCCCCGCGGCGGGAGGCTGACGAGCGGGACTCACTGTTGGATCAGAAAACAAATATGTTGAAAATTGCTTTAGGATATTGGACAGGTACAGAGAATCTAAAAAGAGATGTTGGGCACACAATGGTAATGTGAAAAAAGAGGCCAGGAGTGCTCACTGGATCTGAAGTTAACTAAGCGGGTGCTGTTCAGGATTGTGCGCAAAATAGTGATTAATGAAGGGAAAGATATAAAAGGCACGTCTGGTCTTAGCTATAAAGGTTTATTACCAAAACACCAAAGCATTTCAACGCAAGGTCTCTCTAGAAATTATTAAAATAGTGAATTTGTAATGATTATTCAGATTAAGGTGCAATGTGTAACTTTTCCATTGGAGGGTTCATCAAATACTTTTCTCTGTGGAGATGTTATTGCCTTGTCTGGAATGTTTCAGTCAGGGTTCCCATCTTTTTCACTGACAAAATTTCAAAACTTTTCCAAGACTTTTTCCGTGACCTAAAGTGAATTTTCCAGGACTTTACGGCACCTACGTGTGTAGAATTGATCAGACTTTCAGGGCTGAATATGAAATGTTAACTCTTTCCACTCACCTTATGGTTTGCTTTTATAGTTTTTTTAAAATTCAAAATACTGTCAGTGCATTTATTGTCGTCTCTTTTAAACAAAAGTTGCATATGTTCAGAAATAATCATAATAGTCTAATTATAACTGAACAGAACACTGTGGTTGCGTGAAAGGGATACTAAAATTCCACGAATTTTCCAAAACTTTTCATTGTTTAAAATTATTCAGGGTGTCCACAGGGTGACTTCCCCAAATTTAAGCTTTTTAAGAGCTTTTTAAGACCACTTAAATCAAAATTAAGACCAACATCGCACCCATTATGTGGGTGAAAAACAACAAATCCAGTTCTAATAATGACCAAGCAACTACAGTACTGTATCCAGAATCCAAGAGCCACTGGGGATTAAACATGAACTTCCCCAAGATACAACATCTTCCTTCGTTCTACTGATCATTTCCTCATTTCCTCCAAATTAGATGTTCATTCACGTTACATGATTTCACGCTGTTTTTTTGTTTCTCCCTCCATTTAACGTTGCACTGCAGCCCGGGTCAGTAATAAAAAAATAGGCTACAGAAATTTAAGACCTTTGTGAAAAAAATAAGACTTGGACAACAGACTTTTTAAGACCTTAATTTAGGATAATGAAATTTAAGACCTTTTAAGGACTTTTAAGACACAGCGCCTGCTGTTTAAAATTTACAAAATGTCATGACTTTTCCAGGGGTGTAAAATGACATTTTCAATTTCCATGACTTTTCCAGGATTTCTATGAACGTGGGAACCCTGCACAGTACGGTGTTAAACCTTTCTATCTTCACGTTGATCCAACCAGACCAAGTTACGAGTCAGATCTGTGGAAAGGCGACTCACAGTCAGAATGGCTGTTTTTTGAGGTATTTTTGAGCAATAAATCTACCTGTAATTGAATAAATGTAAGGCAGGACTGTTTACACCTTTCAGTAACAGATAATACTCCCTACAACCTTACAACAATTCCAAGTCTTTCTATGACCTCTTGTGTATAGGTAACATTTTATATTTTATTACTTATTTTATTACTTTATTTTGACTTGTATATACATTTATATAATTATGTCTTATCTGACACCAGCACTGGCACATTCCACACAGATGAACGGCAGATCTAGAGAAACAAGTAGGTGACACACTCCCAACCAAAAAGTTATATAGTGCACCTTTAATTGTGACAGCCTACTTACAATACAATACATAATATAGATATAACATCGTATGAAACAATTTTTGTGAGTTGTTTTTGTTCACACTTTTATATTCTAGCCTGGTGTACCTGGCTCTCCCCTCCACAGACTCTCTGTGCTCCCTGTGTGCTCCACCACGCTGAAGAGGCTGGAGAGGCCGTCCGTCAGCCCGCTCAGGACAGGACTATCGCGGGTGGTGGTGGAACGGGCCCAGGCTGAACCTCCAGGTCTCTGCTGCAGACTCCACAGGCTCCTGTCCCTGGACGAGGAGGAGGAGGTTTCCAACCGTGAAGTGGAACCTATAAATCAGATGCAATGGATTAGGATTCTTCTCCATTTGCATGTTTTTTTTTTTTTGCATCTCTAAGTGGATTTCCTCAGCTTGTTTATATATCCTCTATAAAACTAAAACAAGCATGGGAGGTTAAGCTCTTGACTAGTTGAAGTTGCAGTGAGGTCATATGAGGACAGAGGCCTATAATGTATTACCTCATTTTTTTATGTAAATATATAATCTTACTTCAAATCATGACACAAACTTCATATTTGATAATATTTTGGATTTTTGTCGCGAGTAGAAGTCACAAGAAGTGTCTGAAATTGATGGTTTAAATACTGATGTGTAGTGCACTCTGGTCAGTTGGGAAATTTTGATTATCCAGTCGTAACTTCGACTCGAGTCAGACTTGAATCACTATTTTTAGGATAAAATAGACCAAGACTTGGGACTCGTCTTGGACTTGAAGGTCAATGGCTCAGGATAAATACTCATATATAAATACCATGAATTTTAAAGTAGAGTTTAGCTTAAAACTCATATAAATTGCAAAAATCTAAGCTATATTTGGTACTTTGGTTTAAAGACTTGAAATGACGTGAAGCTCAAAGCAGACGACTTGGACTTGACTTGGACTTATGGGCCAGTGACTCAAGACTCAACTTGGACTTGCCTGTCTTTGACTGGGGACTTGACTTGGACTTGAGGTCAAAGACTTGAGACTTACTTGAGACTTGCCAAACAACAGCTTGGTCCCACCTCTCTAATATCCTCTGCTAATATCCCCTTCATTAAGCTTAAAATATATATTAAAATGAAATTCTAAATCAAAAGTTCACAGACCTGAAGACACGCGGCGCTGCAGTTTGGGCGACCCGTATTTGGGTGAGCAGCAGGGTCTTTCGATGCGCCCGTGCACCTTGTCCAGGGAGGTGGAGATGTGTCTGGAGCGAGCTGAGGCTAAGGGGTTGGCTGTGGAGGAGGTGGGCCGGGGAGACCAGACCTTGGACTGGAGCCCCCTGCTGGTGGACGGGGTGTCAGTCTGCAGAGCCACACTGACGCACAGGAGAGAGGTCTGGGTGGAGCGAGACGACGTGCCGATCACCTGGAAGAAGAAAAGAGGTCATGAAAATAAGTCTGAATTCATTATATTATTTGCATGATTTTGAGTTGTACCTTGATGTTTTGTGATGTAACATGAATCATATTTTTGAATTACCGAATTTTCCGGACTATAAGTTGCATTTTTTGGGGAAATGTATTTTGTAAAATCAGAGACCAGGAACCGACATTTCATCTTGAAAGGCAAATTATAGTAATAACACCACAATAGAGAACAACAGGCTGAATAGGCGTTAATAATATATTAATGTAACATATTAACAGTTATTCAGATGATTATAGCATAAACAACAGAACATAATTTTACCAAACTCATGATTTCACTCCAAATCACTAAGCCTATTGAAGTCTTCATCCTCTGTGTCACTTCTGCATGACCTCTGGAGATAAACCATAGATCCGTGAGGTAAACAGAGCAACGCTTCCTCTTCTGTGTCGCTGTCGTCAGACTCAGCATCAGTTCAATTTTGAATTATTCTGACTTTTTTGAACCCCGACAGGATGATTTCAATTGTCACTGAAGTTCAGGCTTTTTCCATTCATCCAGTGACTTCCAGGAAAGTTACATGGCGCACCTGCCCGGTTGCTGTGAAGCTGTGTTCTCTATCCCCATTTTCCACTAGTTAATCACAAGTTTCTCGCTCACTCCAAACTTTCTTTCTGCTGCTCGATTACCGTTTCGGCTGAATATTTCACTATTTGCAGCGAGACAGCGCCTTTTTCTACAGGAGCCATGCACAGTAGAGTGCGAAATGACAGTGGTACAGGGGGAAAAGTAGTACTAGATACTGACACACAAGCCTAGAGCCTCTCGTGGTTGTCAGTCTGAAAATTTTAATACATAACTGCACTGGAGTATAGGTCGCAGGACCACCCAAACCATAAAAAAAGTGCGATTTATAATCTGAAAAATATGGTAATCATTCTTATAGTTGTCAGTGCTTTCTACTGTATTTTGTAAATATATTTGATATATTTTTATTGAAATTGTTTTAACTGCATTACTTATTTACATTACTTCTTATTCATTTTACATAAATCTCCCATTCCTTACTTTTTCTGCAGAGCACTTTAAATTGTGATTTAATTTAGGGTCCAATAAGTCACTTTTCTGAAGGAGGGTCTGCCCCCTGCACCCCCCTGATGATTACTTTAGATACAGCAGCTGGCACCACCTGGTCAAGTTACATGTCAGATCTGTGGAGAGGTGAGCCTGCTCACAGTAATTTTCTTTTTTCTAGTTAGATATTGCCTTGCAAATGTAGAGTATCTCTATATTTTTTATACAGAGGAATATCAGTCCGGTCACCACATCTTCTGTCGTGTCTCGAGCCAGAAAGCACAATCGTCCAATCAGATTTGTTTATTTTGGCAGCATGTGCGAAACAAAGGAGCTCATTTGTCACTGGTCATTTACACACAAAATCGAAATTCTTTCACCTCACATTAACAGAGTTTAGTGTTTCATTGATTCTGCAGAACTCTTTTTTTCAGTGCCCTGTGATATTTTTTACCTTTTTTCATCTTGTAAGCAGCAGCAGTTCAGGCAGTTAAAAAGTCATGAGACAAAATCGATGGGGATTTAAAGCTTTAAACTAAACCACCCTAAAGTTATGAGGGAGCTCATACCGGACTTCCTGGTTCCTTGCTGGACTTCCTCTCCAGTGAAGACGAGCGAATGGCCTGCCGCACACAATTGGTCATCTCCTTCATGTCATCGCTCAGATTGGCCGAAATCTCTCCCATCTGGAAATCCGGGAACGGAGAAGAGGAGGGCAAACTGCTCACTACACTGTTGGCAGAAGCCGGTACTGACACGGCTCTGCTCTCCAACAGCTCCCTGTGCTGCGTGGACAGGGAGCTCAGCCACTGCTCGTACGATGAAGAACCCTGCACCTCCAAACCTCCAGACCCGGTATCCGGAGCGGTCGTACCCGGAGAAGAGCACCCGTTCTGAGGTAGAAACTGCTCAGATAGTCCCTGTTGGCTCCGGAGCTGTTCCATCCTCCGGACAGTGGGGGGGCTGTAGTATATGCGGATGCCGGTGCGGTCCGGGGCAGTGTAGCTTCTCTGAGCAGAGTCCAGGTCCTGCTCCGCGCTCAGGCTGGAGCCGTCCCATGTTTTACAGGTGTCGCCCACTTCTGGAGTCTATGGAAAATATGAGAGAACAATACAGGACATTAATAAAAATGCACAATAAAAAAACAAACATTAAAATAGAGTATCTTATAGGCCACAATGTCTGGTTAAAGTAGTTTTATATTTGTAATATTTTCACACTTCCTTTTCTTGTTGAGTCAGTTGCTTGTTTTTAGTATTTCACTGTATACCTCAATCATATCACATTATATTGTGGTACAGAGCTAAAAATAAGGTACAGTGGTTGTGTCAAAACTATGTTAAATGCATCCAATTAATGAGCTGCTGTATCAGTCACTGGCCTGTGGTTCTCTGCTTCAGTTATGTTTCAATAAATCCTCAGTGACGTGCTGATTTAGACAATAATCTCTCACCTCATTGGTCAGATTGGCCCAATTCTTCCTGGTGATGTCATAAGGCTCCGGGCGAATCACAAGAGACATTTTCTCCAACTGTTCTGCCGCCCCGTTCACCTCCAGGTCCGACGTGGATTTGGTCCTTTTCATTTAAGAAAGAAATTTTAGCTAATTTAACTGGAGAAAATGACGATTCATCTTCTTTTTTTTCTTTTTTTAAGACTATTTAAGACTATTTGCGGGCAAACACACACAAAATATTGTTTACATAATTTCATTTTTTTCAGTGAATATTACCTTGGTGAAGCAGACCCGTTTTGGATCAGTCCGTCAGCAGAAGAGTCACTGCCTTGTGACTTTGGCTGTAATGAGACACAAAATATTTAATTTAATTTGATTTATTTATTACAAGTTTTTATGACCAAATAGGAATCACTCTTCAATAATAATAATAATAGAATATTTTATTTAAATTATATTACTGTGGCTTCAATTTAAGATGGGATAAAATTAAACTTCTTCTTTGTCATTAGTCAACAGAATTACTCATATCAGATGGAGGAGGTTAGTTCCTTGTACTGCACATGGTAAAAAAAAACTAAAACAAAAAAACTGTGCAATACCTGTTTTACACAAGACATCCCTGAAGAGGGCAGTGTTGTCCTGTCTAAAACACATCCAGCTCTGACATATGGTAGTTCTCATTTCTCACCCACAATTGACAGAAGAAAAGCAAATCTGTTGTATCTTTTTTCTTAATTCATTCTCAGATTATTGGCTTATAGAAAAGAAACTGACAATATTATGTTTTATATGTTATATTTAGTCCTCGCAGTGACATGTTCTTGTTTGGACCTTGTGTAATCCTTGTTTTCATCCTAATGAGCTACAAGTTAACACAAGCACCGAAACCACTAATCCTAGTAGTTCTTCTGGTTTAGTCGTGTTTTTGAGCTGATCCAGGTGTCGTTTTGACCTGGATAAGTCCTATTTTAGAATTGGTGTAGTTGAGGTTTAGATCTTTTTATATTCCCGGTTGATTCTTATTAAGAAGTGATGTTTGGTCCAGTTTAGTCTCTTTGTTTCAGACCAGCTACAGATCTGGTTTAGACTTGGTTTCGTCAGTGTTGTTTTTTCCCTCGTGTTCTTTTGGTTTTGGAGATTGGCTGGTCCTGATTTAGACCTATTGTATAAGAGCTACAGGTGAGCTCTACAAGTCAGTTCTTTATGGTCTGATTGCGGTCAAATAAATCTCAGGTTAAAGTCTAACTTGAGTTACAGAGCTTCACACAGAGCAGTTCCTTCAGTTAGTATCACACCCCCAGGGAATTTTGATTACATCAGCTGCAAAGTATCAATAAGCTCCACAACTGGGCTCATAACAGTATTCACAGTCATTACACAATCTTCTGTAACGTCACCGGTAAAGAACATCAGTGGTCCGTAGACTGTACCTTGTGGTGCGCTGTGGCCTCCCTGAGTCTCTGCTCCCACTGAGCTCTCTCTGCACTGAACCTCTCCAACAGGTCCAGCTTCTCCCGGCCCCAGTTCCTCTCTCCGATCTGGAGCTGCACCAGCAACAAAGCAAAAATATCTTAGTTGAGGTGTGAGCAAAGCACCAAAACAGGCAAAAACTGCAAAGTCACGTAAAATAGATTGAATTTTATAAATAATTACAAGTATGTTTTAGTGTATTTCTCATGGATTTCTATAATATTATCCAAATATTGTCATTGGGTAATACATTATTTATTTTATTTGTTGAAAAAAGTGAACAAAAATGAACATAAATAAATAAAATACACACAGACAGAAGACATAAGACAACTCTAACACAGTAATTCAATGAGAAAGATGCAGTTCTTTCTTCTTTTTACTCACCTGTTTAGTCAGGTCCATGACTGCAGCGTAGGACTCTGCTAACAGGTGCTGGTGCTCTTCACGTTCCTTCTTCAGCACCACCTTCAGGTCTGGGGCCTCCACAGCATCAGCAGAGCTCAGAGGTTTACCAGCTTTAGTCTCCAACTACAAGACAAACATAGACAAAATACAGTATGTACACAATTATACATGGAAGTTGATTTTGTTTTTAAGTTTTCAGTTATAGTAAAACACACAGTAAAGTAGCCAATATAAATTTTTTTATTAATTACATTTTCTGAAATAAATAACCACAAATATTTGATAGAATTAGGTCAGTTTCCTGTTAAATTAAATAGGCAGAAATGTGCTTTTTATAAATTTGTAAGGGATGTTCAGAAAATAACATTAATCAACTGTTAAATGTGCATAGAAATATAATAAAATTTAAATTATTAATGGCCTTGTACCTGATTTTCCCCATGTATTTGAGTATATTTTGCAGAACAGATCTATTTTATAAGCAGCTCTTGAGGTCAAAATAAGTTTGCATTGAACCAGAAAACATTTAATTTTAAAGCTTTGAATGAACTGGCCACCACAATACATCTCAGACCTCATCCAGATTTACACCCCCGAGCGTTCAGAGGTCCCAGGGCCAGTTCCAGCTCGTGGTGCCCAAGACGAGACTTAAAACCAGGAGAGACTGAGCCTTCTCTGTGGTCGGCCCCAAACTCTGGAACGTTCTGCCCCCCCCACTTCCGAACAGCCCAGACACCCCACAGTGGAGTGTTTTAAGTCTCGTCTTAAGACCCACTTTTAACACCGCGAGAGTTGTGTGGTCCTCTGTGTCTTTATTTATTTATTTATATATATATTTATGTATTTATTATTATTATATTATTATTATAGATTTAAACCTTTTTTATTTTGTTCTACTTTTATTTATTTAGTTTGTTGTGTGGTCCTCTGTGTCATTATTTATTTATTTATTTATATATTTATGTATTTATGTTATTATTATTATATTATTATTATTATTATTATTATTATTATATTATTTTTTATTTATTTTATTATTATTATTATTATTATTATTATATTATTATTATTATTATTATTATTATTATTATTATTATTATTATTATTATTATTATTATTATTATTATTATAGCTTTAAACCTTTTTTTTCTATTTTTATTTATTTATTTATTTATTTTTATTTATGATTTACTGTATTTTTTTATGATTTATTGTATTAATTTGTCTGCGCAGCACTTTGGAAACTGTCATGTTTATAAAATGTGCTATGGGCATAAAGTGGACTGGATTGGATAATTGTCCACAAATCAGGAAGTGCACTGTCAGCATGCTAGTTGTTAGGAAAATTGACCAAAAATTACGCACCGGAGTTGTGAAAAGCGCTCACTGGGATGAATAATAATGAATTACGATGTTTGGAATTGTACAAGGTAAGTCAGGATTAATTTTTGACCACTGCAAATCATTTTTAAAGAAGACAAAATCAGATACAGGATCATTAATAAATATAATGTGTCGGTGTGTTTGTTACCGATAAGATTTTCACGAAATGACCTCATCCGTCACACCTCGACACTGATCCCGCGCTGTGTTGTGGTCACGGCGGCGAGTGTGTTTTTCTGATACAGCCTCTAAGCCCCGCCCCCTCCTCTTTATCGCCGACCCGTTTCATTTGTGAAGTGGTTTTGATGAATGAGCCCCGCGGACCACAGCTGCCCCCACACCGAGAACAGGTGCTCCAACACGGCCGACACCCACAATATGTCAACACAGGAAACCCTCATTCATCTTTGATCGCATTTTCCACTCGGGGATTGTCACAACAAATCAGTGAAACGTTCGGTAATTTATGCATTAAATTGGGTTTACAAGGGAGCCGCGGGAACCCAAATGCATTTTTATGGGCTTATTTAGTTAGAGAATTGTTTAGATCTAACCCCGCTGTTGTAATTTAGGGTTGAGCTAAAGAAGTATATTAAATGAACGTTTGTAATTAAGAATAAATCAGCATAAGAATGATTCTCAGTAAAAGCTGTATTTGATTTGAACATATTTACCTCGTATCAGGGGACACAGATAGGTCAACTTTATGGAATTTAAAACCTAAAACTTACATACTGTTCTTTAAAATGTTGGCAGCAGTACTTGGATTTGTAATTAAATGCATCGAGTATTATATTTATTTAGTTATCTGACCCCGATGTTGTAATATAGAGTTACACGACCGGTCAGAAGTTTTAGAACACCCTAATTTTTCCAGTTATTTATTGCAATTCAAGTCGTGCAAGTCCAATGAAGAGCTTGAAATGGTACAAAGGTAAAAACTGAACAGACAGAGGTTAAAAAAAAAGATAAAAGATACAAAACACAAGTCTGAGTTATGCCAAAGCTACTTCAGGAAAAAAGAACAAGATGGTAAAACTTGAAAACATGGAGCGTCCAGCACAGTCTCCAGACTTAAACCCCATCGAGCTGATTTGGGATGAACTGGACAGAAGAGTGAAAGCCAAGAAACCTGCAAGTGTCACACATTTATGGGAACTTCTGTGACAGACTTGGGAAGAACTTTCTGAAGAATATTTGATTTTCTATTGTAAAAAGAACGAGCCACGAGTGTGTTCAGCTGTTATATCTGCCAAAGGTGGACACATTCATGAATCAAAAGTTTAAGATACGTTTTGGTCAACAGTAAACAGTAAAAAGCTGGAAAAAATGTGACCGGTAGTGTATATTCAACAAACCCTGTGCTCTTATAGTTTTAAAACAGGTAGTAGAATCAAAACTGAACCTGAGCTGCCAGTGGCTTAACCTGCAGCTGGAGGACACAAACTTCTCTCTCATTCTCAGCACATGGTCAGGCTGTGTCGTATGTGAAAGCTCAGAACCTCCAGAAATCACTCTCTGAGCTGCAGAGGCTGCACTAGCACTGATTCAGGATCAGCTGTGTTGGTTTTTAGGTAGTGACCGTTCAGATCAGAGAAAGGCATTTTTAGGTTTGAAGGTGCTTTGTGTAACTTTTCTGGTGGAGGTGATGTTATTGCTTTGTCTGTAATGTTTCAAAGTATGGCATTAAACCTTTCTATCTTCATGGAGACCAAGTTACAGGTCAGATCTGTGGAGAGGCGACCCCGCTCACAGTCACAATGCATGTTTTTCTAGATCAAACTTTTGCATCGAGTGAGCTACTTTTAGAAAACGGAAACACTGGAGAGCTACTCATTTTAGCGATCGCAATCAAATCGAAACTGAGTGGATATAAGAGGGCCTTAGATGTTGTACAGTTAGATGCCTTTAAAACATAAATCCATTATCCATTTATCAGTGTACAAAGCTCAAACTAACACATTTACAATAGTAATTAATCAAAGTTGTTCACCATCATACGTAATTCAGAAACTCTTTGGCGAGCTACTTAAAACAGGGTGGAGAGCTACTGGTAGCTCCCTTACCCACAGGTTGGAGACCCCTGTTCTAGATATTTTTGAGCAATATAACCACATGTAATTGAATAAATGTAAAGCAGAACTGTTTAATGTCATACTGTGGAACATTCCAGCCAGAGAAATGACAGTGATAACTAGTGGTTCTCACTTACATATCCTTAACAAATCTGGTTTGAATATTTGCTTCATATAGTTTTCTACCATATGGTACAAGATTAGGTTGAAAAACCTCTTACTTTTTGAGTAATGAGATTTTTTATTAAGAAAGGTCATGGTAACAGAGGGAAAAGTAACGGAGGGAAAATTGTGCAAACAAGTAGAAGGTGCATGATTTTACATAATTTGTCGCTTTTTTCTTCCCAATACTTTAATATTACTTCAAAATGAAAGGAAACTATTTCTATAAAATATGTCAGTCCTTCCAAGCAAATTTTTATCATTTTAAATACATTTTTTTTGAAAAATCATGAACCTTCATCAACAGTTCAAAGATGGAATAACACAAGATATGATGAAATACATCTATTTATTTACATGATTTGCAGGTCTTTGAAATTTGGGAAATAATTTTTGTTCCATGTTTCATACATGGTCTGTTTAAAACGTATGTAACTTTAGAACCAAAAATGGTACAGGAAAAAGGTCAACAGTTTCATAAACTAGAGTACATATGTATCTGTTCAATACATTTTTATATCAGATGCATTAACTTGAATTTTTGGCCTTGCTGTTTACTTCTGCTTGACCGGGTCCATCTCCATAGAAACAAGCAGGTGATGAACCCCCAACAAAAACGTTACATAGTGCATCTTTAAACCAAAATATAACAAACATCTTGGTCATCATGCCCATTGTTTTTGCTACTTAAGAATAAATCAGAATTACAATTATAATCAGTAAAAGCTCCTGTTGATTTGAACATCTTTATCTCAAATCTGAGGAAACAGTTGGATCATGTTTATTAAAAAAAAAAATTAAAAGTTCTTAAATACTCTATATAATATTACATACATTCATAGTATCAGAAATATAACGCCACCTCCTCGTGTTGTCAATAAAGAGTTCTTTTTACTGATGGTTTGCTTAAGGTTTATTGTGGCTTGTATAGGATGCCTTTGATGCCACCAAAATCACCCTGACCCATAGGTAGAGGTACCTTTTAACATAACTTTATTCACTTTATTTTAACTTTATTTGACTTCTTTGCCGACACGCTACACTACACCAGGCGTGCCTCTCTATCCAGGGGTCCAGCGGAACTGAACAAAACAGTGACAGTTCCTACCTGCTGACTACCAAAATAAAAGCAGGAAATCTTCTCTTAAGTGTATATTACATATTATTAAAGTAAATCAAAATTATGGCAGTAAAAAGCAATTATTGTGTTTATGGATTATGTTTACGCATTTAGAGAATTACCTATAATTATTTTCTTATTACTATTATTACTATTATTCTTATTCTAAATACTTTCTATCCCTCTTCTCATTCAAAGAGGATTTCGTTGTTTAATTTGTTTGGTTTGTTTTGTAAAAAAAAGAAGATACCCTGATATTAATCAATACTAAACTAATATCAATACTCAGATACTCATTTGAAGTATTAATCGATTAAAAAATGTGGCCTTTCTTGAATAATTTTAGAATCATTTTGATCTATATCAGAATAGAATAAGAGCGTATGGAAACATTAACAAACTAAACTATTATTTTGTGTTAGAAAATAAAATCACTGCAGTATCTGATTCTCTCCAACTTTTCCTTAGGATCAAAATCTAATACGACATCTAGTATTGCATCAACACTATTCTATCTGTCAATTATTTCAGTGTAATATAAGTGGGCTCAGCGGCCAATTTAACAACGCTCACTTTCGTTTACTGTCACAGTTACCGCCAATACAACCATCGGGCTAAAACTTGACGGCCAGAACATAACCAAAACGCCGCCTCTCATCACTTCTCGCCGCTAAACTGCTCGCTCTAATCTAATCTTGACGTCGTGACGGCTTGTTTATCGAGGTGAACAGTGCCTGTAATTCCCCTGCTTGTTCCTGCGTGGAGTTTTCAGATTGAGACATGGGCTGAGGAGCAGGAGAAGGGAGGGAGAGGAGGAAGAGGGAGGAAGAGGGAGGAAGAGGGAGGGGCTGGAGCAGAGCCAGGAGGCGGAGGTGCCGATGATGTGGTTGGCTGAGCGGACATTTATCAAATCTCTCCGGTATCCACACACTCGATGCGTTTTTGCTCCTTCTTGGGGACACACATTGACTTGTATTTGTTTCCCTGAGACTGATTCTTACCTTAAACCAGAGTTAGTCAATACTTGCATAACATTAACACAACACAAAGGTGCATTGTGTAACTTTGTGTAAAATTGTGTAACCGTTTTTGTTTGATATGTCATTGCTCTAAACAGCTCTACCTTACATTTATTCGGTAACACTTTATAATAACTACACCTTATTTAGCCTTAATAAAGCATGAACAAAGACTTACTTAATAATGATTCACGCTTAGTAACTACTTAATTAGTACCTGAATTAGCACTTAACTTGCACTTAATTCACCTGTGCTGTAAATAGTTACTCATAAGTATTTCTTACTTAATTACTCATGAACTAACCATTTGTGTGTGCATTTGTAAATGCATATTTAAGTCCAAACTTGAGCATTTATTAATGATTAGTAAGCCATGAGAGAATGATTTACTAATAATGCATTACTGTTTCTCTGGAATTTGACCAACCTTAACAAATGCTTAATAAAGCATAATTAGTCTTCACTTTAGAAAAACTCTCAGAAAGACTTAACTAACAGATAACAGCCGCCTGAATGATCATTGCATTGCATTATTAGTAAATCATTCTCTCATGGCTTACTAATCATTAATAAATGCTCAAATTTGTACTTAAATATGCATTTGTAAACATGCAAATGGTTCGTTCATGAGTAATTAAGAAGTATTGAGTTTCTATTTACAGCACAGGCGAATTAAGTGCAAGTTAAGTGCTAATTCAGGTAGTAATTAAGTAGTTACTAAGCGTGAATCATTATTAATTAAGTCTTTGTTCATGCTTTATTAAGGCTAAATAAGGTGTAGTTATTATAAAGTGTTACCATTTATTCAATTACAGGTGCTTTTAGAGCTCAAAAATACCTTGAAAAACAGGAATTCTGACTGTGAGTGGGGTCGCCTCTCCACAGATGTGACCTATTAACTTGGTCTGGTTTGGTCTCCATGATGATAGAAAGGTTTAAAGCCATACTGTGAAACATTCTAAACAAAGCAATAACATCTCCATGGAGAAAAGCATTTGACGGACCCTACACCAGAAAAGTTACACAAAGCACTTTTATCCATAGTCACTACTTTTTTTTCCAGAATGTTTCACAGTGTGGCATTAAACTGTTCTATCTTCATGGAAACCAAAACAGACCAAGTTACAGGTCAGATCTGTGGAGAGGCAACCTCGCTCACAGCCCTTTTTTCCATGGAATTTTTGAACTATAAAACCACCTGTAATTGAATAAATGTAAGGTAGAACTGTTTAATGTCACACTGTGGAACATTTCAGGCAGAGCAATGACATCTCCATAGAAACAAGCAGGTGACAGACCCCAGTCAAAAGATTACACAGTGTATCTTTATACCTATAGGTATAGGCTGCTATGGGCATCTACAGTGGCTGATCCCATCAGATCTCAGAAGCTCAGCAGGGCCGGGCCTGGTTAGTACTTGGATGAGAGACACTGGGAATTCCTGGTGCCCAAAAACTGTGGTTGTGTCCTTAGGCAAGACACTTCACCCACACTGCTTTGTATGAAAGTGGTGAGTGCGTGTTGGTGGTGGTCGGAGGGACTGGAGGGATTGGCAGCCTTGCTTCCGTCAATCTGCCCCAGGGCAGCTGTGGCTACAGTAGTAGTTTACCACCACAGAGTGTGAGATGAATAAATAATGAACTGTACAGCACTTTGGGTCTCTTGAAAGGCGCTATACAAATGCAATGATTACTTAATAATTAACTATGTTGATCTAATAGTAAAGAATTTAAAGGGCACATATTAGACTATTTTCTGATTTATGTTAAAATGTTGTTTCCTCATCATAGAAATGCCACATCTCTGTTGAACTAACTTAAAATTACCACTTCATAACATCACAAGGTGGAACAGAGCACTTTTAGCTATGGAGATGTAGACAGACTAATAATAAAGGGTAAATCAAACACATGTGAATGAAACAAAACACAACTCCAGGTCCAGGTCCAGTAACAAGATTCCAACATGACTTAAAACTCACAACGGTCAACTGTGTGTGTATAAAGATCATGTCAGATTTGACAAGATGTTTTCCTCTCACTCTCCCCCTACAAGACGCTGTGTCTCTTGTGCAGTGTCAAAGAAGAGTTATAATGGATATTTGAATAACATTTAAAACAGAAATTCAGACACTCTCCAGGCAACAGTTTGTTTGGCCTCCAGATGGGGATGTGAGGGGATTAAATCTGATCATTTAATCATTTTGGAACATTCCCAAATTGTTTTTAAAGTAATAATAATACGTTTATAGTCTGGGGATTTCATAAAAGTGAATAAGAGTATTACATCTAAACTGCTCCAGGACCTCGCTTGATTTCACAGTCGCTCATTTTTTTATATTTTTTTGGAATATCGGACTAAGCCTCAGCAGCTTTAGAGTCTGTGCTGTGAATTATAATAATCCAGCACAATAAAAATGAAATCAGGTATACATGTGGCTCTTTAAAAGCACGACAGACTAACTATAAGGTTGGTGGTTTGATCCCTGACTCTCATGTTGTTGTGTCCTTGAGCAATACAGACTCATTTTCTAATAAGTAGAGTTTATATTGTACCTGTGAGATGATATTTTTCAGCTCGGCGCGCTCCACTTCCCACGACGCCTTGGCTTTTGCGAACTGCTGCGTGAGCTCTTGGGATCCCTGTCTCTCCTGATGTAACTCTGCGCTCAGGTCCTGCAGCGCCACCCTCAGGTCAGCCAGCGTACTGCTCACTGCACTTGACTATACGAAGAAGCAAGAACATCGGTTAGTTTTAGTACTTTAGACATGACAGTGAAGTGCAGTAGTAGTATTTGTACCTTTATAGTAGGACTGACAGGGTGTGCGTCTGCAGCCTGGTGGGAGGGGCTACGGTTCTCTTCATCCAAAAGGAGGTAAAGGTCCTTCAGGCTGTTTATCTGTAAAACATCAGAACATATATTCAGCTTTTTTTATTATTATTGTTATTTTTATTATGGTTGCTGCTGATATTGTGTTTTGTATCTACTTTCAAATGAAATAATGGAACATGTAACTTGGGTCTCTCCTGCCTGTCTCTGGGTCTTATGTGGGCCACATCTGGGGGACAAAAGCTACTTAATGATACCCAGCCCTACCCACTAAGAAGTTGCTGATACGATACATATCTCAATACAGTGAGCTTTTGATTCGATACGATATATTCCAAATCGATTCTGTGCGGTTCAGAACAAAATAAAGCTCATGTAAACCACTTCTTGTGCAAAGTTAATCATCAAACCAGAGAAAATGTCAAATGTGTTGCATAAAAAAGTTTCCTTCCTCTGAGCAAACAACAAAACTGTAGCGCTGTAACAAAATAATTTAGTAAAATATACTAAAAAATACTGTATATTTTGATATTTTTGCACACCCCTATTAGTGAGGACAACTAATATATTTTGTTTATTGGCCAGTAGAAACCAGTGTAAATATTATAATTTTAGGAAGTTTAATTTGTGATTACTTGTATGATTCTGGTTAGAAGTAACTTTTAAAATGAGTCCTTTTGATGCCACTTTATAACTACACATTTAAAAATGTAGATAAGTAAGTAAGTACCTGTTTTTAAAATGTAGTTTTAGAGTAAAAGTATTTCACACTTTTGAGAACAGGTTGTGTGAGAAGTGTTTCATGAGTGACACTGATTACATAACACTCCAACTGAATTATCACCAAAATTATCTCTTTTTTCTCTTGAGTAAATTCTCCCCAGACCCTGACCTCGAGCACGTCCTTCCACTGAGCGTCCTTGCCCCCCTGGACCCTCCACTGTTTGAGGAGACAGCGCAGTTTGAGGCTGAGCAGGAGCAGCGTGTGTTTGAGGTGCTGATTCTCCTGCAGCAGGAGGCTCCTCTCCTGGGTCCAGAGCCTCTGGTGCAGTCGGGCCTGGAGCCCCACGCTCTGCAGCTGGAAGTCTCTCCTCACCAGGGCCTTGTGCTGCTCCTCCTGCAACTGGAGAGCCACAGTGTCAGTGTGCACTGTGTCCTTTGAGATGGGATCACAACACACTTTGATCATTGCAAACACTAACATGTAAATTATGGTTAGACCAATAATTCATCGATATTCATTACATCTTATTTTCATCTTATCTCTTATTTTGGGTTGCCAGATCCTAAAACCAGCTAGGACTCTCTCTATTTTGCCTGTCCTCGAAATGCAAGTTAAGCTACTGGGAAGGTTCAGTTGTGATTGTAATATTTTCTTTTTGTAGTAAGAGCCAGAGCCTACACACCTTCTGTTTAAAATCATCTCGAGCTATAAATGACTTTCACAAAGCAGAGAATACTTGGAACAGGTGTGGATTCAAGCACAGACACTTAAAGCGAATGGCCTGATGGCGTAAGTACTAAACATACTGAAGGAACATTACTTTGGAAACTGACCTGTGTGACTTTATGAGTGAGTTCTGAGTGAGATTTCCTCTCCCTGTCCAGCTCCTCCTGAGTTTGGGACAGCTGCGTCTGAAGATCTGAGCACTGGAAGAGACAAAGACATAAAATATCAGCATAGAGAAAAATATAGATAGATTTTCATTACGCGATTTTTGTCAAATTTTCATTTGGCGTGCTTGTTTCAAATTCAGCAACATTTTGTATTAAAATGAAAGATAGAGATGTAAAAATATCTAAATCTCATGGTACGATATTTATTACGATATTTTGGAAAGGCTAATATAATTGTAAATGGGACACTTTTTTGCTTTTAAAACACCTTGACAAGATTTTGGTGTGAATTATTTCCGTCATAATCCCAAGAATTCAAGTAAAAACATATTTCTTCATGTTGTTTGCACTGAAATGAATCATGGGATATGTAGTTCCAGATGTTCATAAGTTGTTGCTACTATAAAACAATGCATTTAAGCAAAGGAACTTGTAATTCGATGTATTTGTGACAGTCCACGAGACTTTTGACGATACAATATCACAGTATTTGGTTTTTGTTACATCTCTAATGTAAAATGTCAGCTACCTCTATGCAGAAAAGCAAGGTCAACTAAATCCTGCATATTTAGGTTGAATTCTCTCAAACAGAAAACACTCTGTTCCACCTTGTGATGTCATGTGGTAATACAGAAAGTGCTCCACTGTGTTTTTAAACTCTTACACTCGTCACTAGAATCATTTAGATCATTTCAGCCCTTGCCTTGCTGATTTCAACTGAACAAAAAGGAAAAAGGTAAAACACAATGGACTCCAGGCACTCCAAAGAAGTAAAAATCGCACGAGGAAAGCCCTGAGCCCTGATGAAGACTATTTTGGTCGAAAGATGTTGGCTTTGGTCATCTAAATAAAGGCCTTTAAACTACATTTTTCGATTTTTTACTTTTTTGGAGTGCCTGGAGTCCGTTGTGTTTTAAGTTTTGATCCTTTTTTCCAAGCGCACCTTCTACCTGCTCCCACTGACTGGAACACCTGCAGCAAACAGCCACATTTTTTGTTTTTTCTGTACAAAAGGAAAACTTGAAAACTGCAGCTTCATGACATCACAAGGTGGAGATGTGTGAATGAAACTAAACACAACTCCAGGTCTGTTTTTGAGAAGGTAACAACATTATAACGTGACTAAAAGCTCACAAGAATCAGTTTTCCGTAATATAGGACCTTTAAAATTCACATAGGCCTACTACTATTTTGGTATTCTAATATAAATTAATACTAAACGCCTTTTCCTCGACCCACTTCTTCGTTATTGCTGTGTTCCCCGCGCTACACTACAGCCTGGCTTCTGTGACATGACACATAGCACAAATAGCACAAGTGTGGGGTCGCGTAACGAGTCAGATAGGTTCCGTAGTGGTCTTTAAATCACACCTCCGGTTCCCCCCTAACCCTCCCACGCCTGCACACGGGCCATTAGCTCTGGTGTGATCCATCGACCCGGCCTTGTACCACTAATGTCCTCCCTCTAACCCTTGGGGACAAAATGTACTGGCCGAGAGGAGCCACGATAACACGAAACAGCACATAAACAACAAAGCGACCGGATATATGTTATAGTGATTGTTGTGTGTTTTTGAGTAATGGGCTAATAACGCAAGACCACCTTCAAATCAGTGCTGGAACGTAACAAAGTAAAGGTAGAAAAGTACTGTACGTAAGTAAAAAGTTGTAGGTATCTGTACTTTACTTAAAGATGTAACGTTTCTGGTCGAGGGTTCGCAATCTCCTTGTCTTCATGGCGATGTTGTTGCTTAGTCTGAAATGTCCCAGTATTAGGCATGTAACAATAATCAAAATATCGTGATATTGTATCGTCAAAAGTCTCACAATAATACGGTGAGCTGTCACAATATATCGAATTACAAGTTCCTTTGCTTAAATGCATGGTTTTATAGTAGTAACAGCTTATAAACATCGGGAACTACTGTTACGACCCAGCTCGTTTGGGGTGAGGGAAATAACAAAAATAAAAACCAAGAAAATGTAAAATGGAATAAATTAAATAATGTTTAATTAACAGGAATGTAAAGGTAAATTAACAAAAGACTAAAAATATACAGAAAGCAACCTAAACTAAGAAACAGAACAACAGAATAAACAGAGTTTTGTGTCACAAAAGGGGTCACGCAGGCTTACAAAAAACGAGTGGATAAAACTTAGGGACACAAACTAAACTAAAACACAAGTTCCCCAAATTAAACCACATAAACCCACAAACAGAATCGAGTGACCTAAATCAAAAAAGGCACAAAACAGAACTAAACTAAACACGAACACAAAATGGCAGACTGGCCACCAAGGCCAGCAGCCCCGAACAGGTGCTGTAATCTCCTTAAATAGGGGGCGGTGGCTGCAGGTGAGGTGGGCGTCGACCTGCCCCACCAATCAAAAACGAAGGCTCCCACAGCAGGAATCCAGGTGTGTCAGCAAACTTATTTAGAACACACAGAACAAACGACAATCCAAGGCCTAGGGACGTAACAACTACATATCCCATGATTCATTTCAGCCCAGACAACATGAAGAAATATGTCTTTACTTGAATTCTTGGGATTATGACGGAAATAATTCACACCAAACTCTTGTAAAGGTATTTTAAAACCATCTACAATTATATTAGCCTCCTCAAAATATCGCAAAAAATATCGTACCGTGAGATGCATATCGTAAAAATATCGAGAGATTTGGATATCGTATCGTATTTACATCCCTAAACGGTGTGGCATTAAACGTGTCCATCTTGCGTTTACTTTATTAACATGGGTTTTTATTGACCTAAAAGCTTGCATTCTTACTGTGAGGGGGTTTGTCTCTCCACAGATCTGACATGTAACTTGGCACTATGGCATCACCTACTGTCTCCATAGAGATAAATAAGTACAATGCCATACGGTGGAACATTCCAGGCAACATTTACACGGAGAGAAGCTGGTGACTGTGCATGTTAAAGTGGATATTTTTTACTTTTACTTCACAACATTTGAGAGCAGGTATCTGTACTTTCTACTTTCTCCACTACATTTTTTAACTAGACTGAAAAGTAAAAGTATTTTTTATATATATCATCTGAGACTTGATGAAAGCCCTGAGGAGCTTATCTGTAGTTTGAGCAAACAGAAATATACAAATAAAAAAGCTCGGAAAATAATATGAATTTAGTTGTTTCTGTTGAACAAAACTGAGTGAAAATCTTTATCAAAATCAATACGTCTGAAGCCTTATAAGACCTCAAAATCTGTAATAAATAAATAAAATAAAATAAATGTACTTTTTAACAATTTTTAGTCAATTTTTTTATGTGATAATTTTACTTTTATTTGAGTTTTTTTTTTTTTTTTTGTTCCGGTATCTGTACTTTTATTTTAGTAACAAAAGTGAGTACTTGCAAATAGAGGCTTTGCACCGTCTCGTGACCCCTGTAGCAACGGTAACTACGCCGCCATGACACCGGCAACACTATGTCATCGACTTCAGCAGCATCGGAGAAACATGGGCAGGTTTTGTTGTGTATTTGGTTGTTTTAGACGCTCTGAAAGGGATAAAATGATTTGTTTCTTCACTGTTCCTCTGGAAATGACTCATCAGGAGCTCAAACAAGGGAATTATCGAAAAAAAGACAGAAATTATGGTTAGAGAACATAAACTGCAAAGAGATTTCCTGTGGCACCATCAAGACACACTCACATCACTTTCATCAAGGTATTTGCTATTTAAATTGTTTCATAGTTTATTAATGAGAGAAGCAAATTTACTGAACTAAAATGTAAAAAGAAAACATTTGCAGTGTGAGCGGCAGTAGAAACTGTATCTTCCAGCGCACATATAAACATGTCACTCGTCGTAGGACCCATGTTTTCTTTATTGTCTTGCTTATCCACAACTATGTCTTCTAGAATTAATCACTTTTTGCGAGTGGATCTTTCTAACGCTCGCGAGGATCTTTTCATGGCCGATTCTTTCGAGGTTCGGCTCACAGAGCTCTTTAACTCGTGCGTCATGTTGGTCAGAGGAAACAATTTAAATAGCAAATACCTTGATGAAACTTCGAGTGTCTTGATGGTACCATTGGAAATCTCTTTGCAGTTTATGTTCTCTAGCCATAATCCGCGTCTTGTTTTCGATAATTCCCTTGTTTGATCCTGATGAGTCATTTCCAGAGGAACAGTGAAGAAACGATTCGTTTTATCTCGTTCAGAGCGTCTAGAACAACCAAATACACAACACTGCCCGTGTTTCTCCGATGCTGCTGAAGTCAATGACATAGTGTTGCCCGGTGTCATGGCGGCGTAGGTACCGTTGCTACAGGGGTCGCGAGACGGTGCAAAGCCTCTATAGAGCCTCTGAACTGTCCAGAACCTGGAGGACTAACGGTTGAGTGAGAGAGGGAGGGGGCGGAGTCTGGAAATATAAGAAACACTGTGATTGGACGTCCATTTCAAACTCCGCCCCCTGCAGCCAGGCGTTTGCAACTAGAAGCACCTGTCTGTAATCAGGGCAGTGCTGTGTAATGTCACGTAGCACTTGAACTTTCAGAGGTCAGTGGAGGCAGCACACTCAGCTTTCGAACACAAAGCTGCAAAATTGACTTAGTTTGCACAAAAAATTCCTGCTCAAACACCGTATAAACAGTGTAGTAGCCAGAAAGCTGATTTAGTGTTCAGTTCCGCTTTAATCTGTCTCTCTCTTTTTAGTATCTCCTCTTTTTAGTGTCTATTTTGTCCCATGATTCAGTGCCAATTCCAGTGACACGCACACACACACACACACACACACACACACACACACATAGGGCTGGTTGCTATAGAAACCGTGTGCAAATGTCAAACAAACAGAGCCGTTGATTTGCTCTGAGCGACTGTGCTTAATGATGACAGCTCTGTTTGTGTACGAGCGCCTGTTGCTGAGAGAGAGAGAAGTGTCCCTCGTGAGCCGCCGTACATGTGTTTGTGTGCATATAAACTTTAATAACCTTTGTGTACAGGGAGAAAAATTTGAGGTCCAACGAATGTTCAAAACTCACTGGTGGTACTGCATAAAGCTATCAAAGTAAACATAAGATAATATTTTAATGCGATCAGAGTAATAGAGACGTATTTGTAAAGTTTCAGATAACATTATTATTATTTTTGTGTAAATGGGGGCGTTGAATCGGTCCAGGTAATGATGTAAAGTGAAGCATCAGGTTTTATTTTATTGTCTAAAATACTGAGAAACTAAAATATCTGATGATTAAATGAACTAATATCCTTAACAGTATTTTGTATTTCATATAAAAATATATTTAGCATTATGAAATGTGTAAGTAACTGTATTATGTCCATCACCTGCTTGTCTTCATAGTCATGTTATTAATTTGCCTAGAATGTTCCACGGAATGGCATACATCTTTCTGCCGCAGTGTTGTTTTGGTCAAAAAAGTACTTGATGCAAGAAAGCAATGTTTAAAGGTGTAGTATGTAACTTTTCTGATGGGAGGTCCGCCACTTGCTTGTTTCAATGAGTGTGTATACATGCACATCAATAACCCGGTTATTAGCCATATCCCGGTTATGTCAGTATTCGGGTTACTGTGTTTACATGCGCACTGAGAAACCGGGACACTCATATCCGCGTGTACATGATCAAATGGAGTATCCCGGTTTCTTGACATAATCTTACAAATGCGCAGGCGCAAAAATTAACTTAAATCAATTTCATAAACCAGGAAAAATACAAACCGTGAGCTCCTTTAGCATAAGAAGCTAAGGAGCTACGAGATCTCCCACAATCCACTGTGCAGGTTCTTCATTAAAATCTTCTGCATAAATAAACTCAACTTTACAACATATAAACCATAAACACTATAGACACATCAGCCCGTTTGATCAGATCATTCAGCTGTGATCACATTTGTTTACGTTTTACAGAAACGAAACTTAAGACCGTTTGGCTAATTAGCATAAACTGTTAGCGGCGATAAAAACAACTTGCTCCTTGCGCCGCTGATGCGATCAGTTTCTTTTGGACTAAATGACACGACTCTGTGGATTATGTGTGTTATTTCTGTGACAGAAGAGGCGCTAATGATGGTAAGTGTGTTCCGTGCGTATAGAGTATAGGAGATAGTTCATGTTTTAGCTTTTCAGCGTCACACGAGTGCAGGTTGTACGAGTGCAGATTGTACGTGTGCAGGTTTAGCGCAGCTCTTTATTTTACAGTCATTTCACTCGTTTGGTCACTTTATTTATGTTGGTAAATTTATTTATGTGACTACTGTTGTGGTGAAAGGATGGAAAGTGTCTTTTGGACGCATGCGACTCAACTTTATGTTGCAGTAACCGGGGTACTGCGTATACATGCCACAAGTATCCCGGTTATTATCGGAATAAACCAGCTACAGTAACCCGGTTTCTAATAACCGGGATACTGCCATAACTGGGTTACTGAAACCGGGTTACTGCGTTTACATGCACCTTCAAGAAACCGGGATACTCAAAAAACCCGATCATAACCGGGTTATTGATGTGCATGTATACACACTCAATGAAGATGTTATTGCTTTGCCTTTGCCAGCATTTACCCGTATTTTCTTATTATCTTATTCAACCAAAGACAAAAAAAAAAACATGTATTCTTACTAGGGGTGTGCAAAAATATCGGAATATCGATATATCGTATCGTTTAATGTGATGATACAGTATTGATATCGTGGGCTGCTTTAACTATATCACCAAGAGTATTTTTAGGTGTGTTTTACTAAATTATTTTGTTACAGTGCTAAAGTTTTGTTGCTTGTGGAGTGAAAGGAAACTCATTTATGCGACACATTTGACATTTTTACTGTTTTGATGATTAAAATGTTTGTGTTTCATATGAACTTTGGACAAGAAGTGGTTTAACAAAGACTTTTAGTATCACAGCCATGATTTAGCCTTTATTTTTTATTGAACCGTATCGAATCGATTTGAAATATATCATATCGAATCGAAAGTGCACTGTATCGAGATATGTATCGTATCATGGCCTGTGTATCGAGGTATTTATCGTATCGGCAACTTCTTAATGATACCCAGCCCTAATTCTTACACCAAAGATGTTCATTTTGTCTTCTTTTGTACTTTAACTTCTTGGGTTCTGATTTATCTTTGGGTGGAAACAGGCAGGTGACGCCATCAGACCAAGTTACAGGACAGATCTGCGGAGAAGCGACTCCACTCACAGGAAGAACACATGTTTTAACTTCTTGGGTTCTTTTTAAAGACAATGTAGTAAAGTGTATTTACCTTGTTGACATGTTGGGGTCAGGGGGACAGTTCTGAAGATGCAGCAACAGCCGAAACATGTCAACAAGGTAAATACACTTTACTGTATTGTCTTTAAAAAGAACCCAAGAAGTTAAAGTACATAAGAAGACAAAATGAACATCTTTGGCGTAAGAATACATGTTTTTTTTTTTTGTCTTTGCTTGAATAACATAGTAAAAAAATCCAGGCAAAGCAAAAACATCTCTATGGAAACAAGAAAGTGGCAGAACCTCATCAGAAAAGTTACATGCTACACCTTTAAACATTGCTTTCTTACATCAAGTACTTTTTTGACCAAAAGAGCACTACGGCAGAAAGATGTATGGCTACTTTGTAAGGCAAAGGCAGTTCCGACACACACAAAATAGACTTGTCTTGCTCAAAGGAACCACATTTATTAACTATTAACAGCAAAAACAAGCACAATCAGAGATAGCAACCTGGTCCCCCATGAGGCATCGGTGGAGGCAGTTCACCACCACAGATGCCGAAATTGCCAATCCTTTATAATGGCGTGACCTTTCAATTGACCCGTGTGACTTCAAATGACCGATCGTCACCAAACTGTTTTTTGCAGCATCGAGCACGGGGGCTTGATCCACGTACCAAATTTGGTGACAATCGGTCCATAAATGGCGGAATTATCACGAATGGACAGACACACAAACGCAGGGTGAATACAAAACCTGGTCAACCCTTCAGGGACCAGGTAACAATTAGGATAATGATAATTAAAGGGCAACTAAAAACCAAAATCACTTTTTCTAAATGGGCCTAAAATAAAAATGTTTACCTAACCCTGGCCTTATTTTGGCATTTTAGTGCAGATTTGTTAAAAAAAATGGACGTTTGGGTCAAAGTTGTGTCTGTAACGGCCTCTTTAGGATCAACTACAGCCAGGACTAGGCATAGGCATGACTAGTCGATTAATCGATAATTGATTATTAAGAATTTCATCGATTACATTCATTTTAATCGATGACAAACTGAATGTAGGTTGCTGTGCGTAGCGTGACCAAACGGGTCCGTGCATGTGTCTCTGTGCACTCAGAAGGAGCGAGACACAAACAGTCTGCAATGTGTATTTAACGATGACTTGTACAAGAAATTCCACGCTTTCCGTTGCGTTCGGGAGTGAGTCCATGTGCACAGTGTATAAAGCAGCACATATGTTTCGGTGTCCAGTGGGAAAAAGCTTTACCAGGTGAGAGTCGCTCAATGTCGATGACGAGTCCCCACCTCCCTCCCCCGTACGGTGTCCTGGTTTTAACAAACGCAAATATGGTCACACGAACCTGTGTTCCACTGAGTCATGTCACATCAGCGCACAAGAGCAGATTTTTACTTCGCTTAATTTATGCAAATTAGCAATAAGGTTTTAAGTTTCGTTTCTTACGCAAAACTGCATTTAACACATTATAATGTCAAACGGGCTGGTTTATATGTCATAAAGTTGAATTTATTTATGCAGATTAGTAGTGCAGATAGTAATAATAATGATGATAATTTTAATATAAAAAACTTTAATGATTAATCAATAATAATTAATTCTCCCAACGATCGATTAAGAAAATTTTATCGAATGCCCATCCCTAGCCAGGACATTTGACTTTTTGGGTTGGACTAACGGCACCAATGAGTCAGATGCAGGTTATTACGTAATGAGCGCAGCCGCTGGTGTTTACGGGCGGTACGTGAGGAGCCCCTCTCACTCCTGCCCCGACCTCGCGCCACCGCAATGTCCCGCCACGTCTGGAGAAAAGGGAAACGCCGTGATCCGAGCACAAATGTCCAGCCTGTTTTAAAGTCTAGAGCGCCCCGGTCCGCACCATGTTGGATTGTTGCGGCCGTCAGTCATCGCTCCAGATTACCGCCCCGTACCTACTCCCCACAATCCGCCGAACACCGCCCACTCTGGAGGATTTTTCTGATTTTGCTTATGTGTGGAGTAAAGCTTCGGGAGGGAGTTTAATGAATCTATTAAGAGTTTTATGCCATGAATTATTTTGGAACGTACCAGTGCGTTATCTGACTCCTTCTCCTCTTGCCGTTCTTGTACATCGTCGGCGTCCGTTCCCTCGTCTGATTGGCTGCCCTCCTGGCGTTGGCCTCCGACCTCCGGCTCCGATTGGTCCCTAGAGTCAGGCTGCTGTATGCATGCATGGGCACGTTAATGACCGAACAAAACGAGACAGAAATGTGGAGGAGGAACCGTGTGAAATTAAAAAAAAACAGAGGGAGGATGACCAAAATAAAACAAGAATTTAATTAAAAAAGTACAAAATGTCATGTGAAATTTTTTGAAATAATTAAAAGTAAAAAAATAAATAAAGGGGTGATCATCACAAGACAAAAAACAGGATGTAGAGGAAAAAGATTTTGGTCAGAGACGAGAAGGAGAGAGTGGAGAAAAGGAAGAGGAGTAGGATGGACGGAAGGATGAACGGCTGAGGAGAGAGGAGACGAGGACGACAAGGAGGCAAGGAAGGAAGGAAGGCGTTAGGATGGAAGTCAGAAAGGGACCAATGAGGAGGCAGAAGCGGGGAGGGGGGGGGGGGTCAAAGGTGACACGTGAAGAGGAGAGGTGAGGAGGAAGGGTGGGAGAGGAGGAGTGAGACGCAGCCCAGCCACAGACAGAGCGAAGGGAGTGAGGAGGGAGGGAAGGAGGGAGGGAGGGAGCGAGGGAGTGAGGGAGCGAGGAGAGGAGAGATAGCAGGGAGTTGGAATTGGCCTTAGATGGAGCAGTTGAGTTAAATTTGGACCCAAAGTCAATAGAAAAATACAAAGTTGCAACTCAATCACTGTACACTTGAATTGTATATTTGTATGAAAATGTGCTTCTTTAATGTTCCTATAATATTCAAAATGGACTTTACGCCGTGTTAGAATGTTGTTAGCTCCTCAAAAACAGACCTGGAGTTGTGTTTTGTTTCATTCACACATGTTGAGTCATGCTGGGTTATTAGATCGTCTGCATCCTCAAAATTCAAAGCGCTCTGTTCCACCTTGTCATAGTTAAGTTAAGTTAGCTAAGTTAACCTTTTACTTTTAGTTCAGCAGAGATGGGCGATTCCAGTAGTCTGATTCATCAGTCGGTTTCACTTCGTGGAAACCGTCTGACCTCGCAGCGTTAGAATTCGTTCGCTCGACGATAGGTGGATACTTTTTTATTTAACCAATCACTGCTATTCGGTCGTGACATATGTAATTGTAACTGGTATATTAAGCTTTTCCCAAATCCCATAGGAAGAAGGACAATAACATCTTTCCTCTTGATAAAATTCACCAAACATTCTCTTTGTTCTGGCTTTAAATTCTCGATCTTGGGAATTGTTGCAACTGAGAATGGCTTCGTCTACATCACAGGTGTCAAACATAAGGCCCGGGGGCCAGATCCGGCCCTCCAAGACCTTTAATGTGGCCCTCGGCTGATTTTCTACTTAAATATTTGAATTATATTTTCTATTAAAATATTGTTAATTTACTGTGGTGTTTATCACAGCAGCGTCTCCAGCGTCTCTGTACGTGGCCCCTCCCACCAGAGCAGCACAAATGAAGACTTGTCTCTTTCCAAACGCTCTTAAAGGACGATCGTTTTGACTGTTGACCGTGACAACTTCATCAGAAAAATGTCAAAAATAAGAAAAGTGGACCTGAATGCAGGATTTTCCAAGAAAAATTGACTTATTCCTGTTTGCATACAAAATAATATTAAAACATTGTGTTGAAATTGCATTTTTCTTAAAGTTTCAGGTTGTTCATAATATTATAATATTTTGTAAAAGAAAGAGTTCATCAATTAAAAAAGATTTCTGTAATAGATTTGCGTTTCTCTGCACAAATATTTGAACTTATTGTTATTTTGGGGGTTTATATGACATGAGTTTTCTGATCCGGCCCCTTTGGGATCAAAGTCGGTTGGATACGGCCCCCGGACCAAAATGAGTTTGACACCCCTGGTCTACATCCATCTCGACCGCTTTGTTTACTGTTGTGCTGAACCACAAAAGCGACCCAGACAGGCGCTTGAGTTTGACGTCATGGCTTCGCTTATTGGCCGGTGCTCTACAACTTCCGGGGTTCTTCGAACGGTCTAGTGTATTCTGATTCCTGACATAGTCGCTGGAGAGAAGAGAAAATGAGTGAAGGCACGAGGTGGCGCCAGTCTGGTAACAATTTCTGCGCTGAAAACATCCAAATGATTCTAGTGTGTGGAGTTTAAAAAGACAATGGAGCATTTCCTGTATTACCACATGACATCACAACAGTTTTTTCTGTTTGAGAGAAGAACACGGTCTAAATATGCAGGATTTGTGTGTGAATGAAACAAAAGACAACTCCAGATCTGTTTGTGATAAAGAAACAAAATTATAACATAGATCAGAAAATACTGTAATATACCACCCACAAAAAAATAAATAAACTGAAACTGTTAAGGATAAAACTACATTTACAAACATGGATTAATTACTTGACTATCCAAATAAATATCTACTTTTCTTTAACAGTAAAACCACAAACTTTTTAAACCTACACAAATGTAAATAAATATAAGAGTTGACGCCAATAAACTCAAGTGTATTATGAGATGTACTACACTTTTACACATTCTGTATTGGTTTAAATCATAAACTCTTGGTCTATAAACACCAAAGACAAATGGTTTTCATCACAAACGTGTTAAAACATGTGAATTTGACGACTCCTATATAAGAGATATTGTGCATTTTTCATACTTTGATAAAAGCTGATCAAACTGAACTGAGCCATAATAGCGGCCTATGAGTTTTGGTTCAGTAAATGGTGTGTCTATAGCATGCCTGTTATGATGGAGTGTTTTAATAAAGCCCATACAGTAGCAGTGTGTGTATGTGTGTGTGTAAGTGTGTGTGTGTGTGTGTCCAGTGGCTCCATGTGAGGCTCTAAGTGCAGGTCAGGGGCGGGGCAGGCAGAGGACAAGGGTATAGGGCTAATGGAGATTTACAATACTGCTCAAATCAAATATAATTTCGATACAACTAAATTGAGAGTGATGGAGCAAAGTATTTGGGAATGAAGTCCTTTTCTCACTTATTGACATTTCATTTACTGATGGTTTATAATCCGTGTGTCACTCGTTCATTCGTTTTTCAAAATAAAACCAAAAATAAGAAAATAAAAAAAACTACAATTTTACTCATTATTTGTCTCCAAAACCAAAATGAAAAACACAGATAACAATTTGTTTAACAGTTTTTGATTTTGTGTTTAAATTAATAATGGAAAAAACGGATAAAGGCCGTTTCCCGTTTCTCTGACTTAAACTGTGATGCCGGACTTTTGCGCCGCATACGGACTGAACCAGGACTGAAGCAGGACTGAACCAGGACTAAAACAGGACTAAAACAGGACTAAACCACTAGGAGGTGCCTGTGTAGACTGATCAGGACTGAGACCAGGACCAGACAGGGACCAGGCCAGAACTGAGACCGGGACTGAGACCGGGACTGAGACCAGGGACTGAGACCAGGGACTGAGACCAGGGACTGAGACCAGGGACTGAGACCAGGGACTGAGACCAGGGACTGAGACCAGGGACTGAGACCAGGGACTGAGACCAGGGACTGAGACCGGGACTGAGACCATCGACTGAGACCGGGACTGAGACCAGGACTGAGACCAGGACTGAGGCCAGGACCAGACCGGAACCAGGACTAGGACTGAACCAGGACTAAACCAGGACTAAACCAGATCCCGATCTCAGTCCCGGTCTCAGTCCTGGTCTGGTCCCGATCACAGTCCCGGTCCTAGTCCCGGTCCCAGTCTCAGTCCCAGTCCTAGTCCTGGTCTCAGTCCCGCTCTGGTCCCAGTCTGGTTCCGATCTCAGTCCCGGTCTCAGTCCCGGTCTCAGTCCGGTCTCAGTCCCGGTCTCAGTCCTCAGTCCCGGTCTCAGTCCGGTCTCAGTCCCGTCTCATCCCGGTCTCAGTCCCGGTCTGGTCCCGTCTGGTTCCGATCTCAGTCCTGGTCTCGGTCCTGGTCTGGTCCGATCTCAGTCCCGATCTCAGTCCTGGTCTGGTCGCGGTCTCAGTCCCGGTTCAGTCCCGGTCTCAGTCCCGCTCTGGTCCCAGTCTGGTTCCGATCTCAGTCCTGGTCTCAGTCCTGGTCTCAGTCCCGATCTCAGTCCCGGTCTCAGTCCCGATCTCAGTCCCGGTCTCAGTCCCGGTCCCAGTCCTGGTCTCAGTCCCGGTTCAGTCCGTATGTGACACGTTATCCATTTTTTCCATTTTTCATTTAAACACAAAATTGAAAACTGTAAAAACAAATCATTATCCATTTTGTTATTTTGGTTTTGGAGACAAATAATGAAGAAAATTGTTTTTTTTTTTTGTTTTCTTATTATTGTTTTTATTTTGAAAAAAGAATGAATGAATGATACACAGATTATTTATCCTTAGGCAAGACCCTTAAACTTGAAAGCAATAAATTATGTCAAATTGAAGATTTTATTTAACACCATTATAACACGGTTAATCAGTATCTTACTCAAAGTTTTATTTTAAATAGATTTGTGCGTTCATGCTTGAGTAATCCTGCAGCCGTGTTTAGAAAGCTGATCAAACACTTCTTCAGTCTTTTATTCAAATGTCACACTATTGATCCATTAACTATTTATATCTTCATTGTTTTTTTGTGTTTTTCTTTCTCAACATTTTAATAGCTTTGTTTGGATTTGAGCATGTCGTGTAAACCGCACTGCACTGGTCAAACTGAGCATGTGCTGATGAAAGCTGTTAGTCGGCCACAACTCAAAATACAGCAAGAGGGCGTAGGAAAAAAGTATACAGTGCTAAAATATATAATTACACAAACAAAATCTTGGGATTGTGATTTAAAGTGCGTATGACAGGTTTCATTAAAATATAGACAAATATAGAAGAACAAATTTGACCTTATTTTGTCTTCTTTAAAAAAAAAATTCTGGTGAAGTTTATCATTTTAATTCCTGGTTGGACATTAGGCATGTGCAAAAATATTGAAATATCGATATATCGTATTGTTTAATGTGATGATACAGTATTGATATCGTGAGTTGTTGTATCGATATACCAAAAAATACTCTTGTCGATATATTTACCATTAATAAATACACCACAAATTAAAGCAAATCAGAGCGCCATCCTCGATATATTTTACTAAAATATTTTGTTACAGAGCTACAGTTTTGTTGCTTGTTTAGAGGAAGGAAACTTGTTTAAGCGAAATCCGTGTATCATTCGTTCATTCGTTTTTCAATATAAAACCAAAAATAAGAAAATGAAAAAACAACAGTTTTCTTCGTTATTTGTCTCCAAAACCAAAATGAAAAAACGGATAACGATTCGTTTTTTCAGTTTTCGATTTTGTGTTTAAATGAAGAATGGAAAAAACGGATAACGGCCGTTTCCCGTTTACGTGACTTCCGTGACTGCGATGCTGGAATTTTGCACCGCATACGGACTGAACCGGGACTGATCCAGGTCCGAGACCAGACCGAGACCAGACCGAGACCCGAGCTCCGGCCCCGGCGCTCTGGTCCCGGACCTGGTCCATTTGAACCAAAAGCTCTTAGTTCGATTCATTTTCATTGGTGTGAATGCGTCAGTCGGATGCTTTGCACCACCTCGGAACCAGCCGCGGTTCTTGAGCGCGGAGAACCAGAGCAGCTCTGTCCCGGTCTCAGTCCTGCTCTGGTCTCGGTCTGGTCTCGGACCTGGATCCGTCCTGATTCAGTCCGTATGCGGTGAGACTGGGACCAGACCGGGACCAGAGCGGGCCTGAGACCGAGACCGAGACAAGACCAAGACTAGACCGGGACCAGACCGGAGGCTCAGAGCCCACGGCAGGGCCGGAGCTCGAAGCTGAGGCTCGGACCCTGTGGAGGCTTGGAGTCAAAGCTCGGAGTCCGCCCTGGTCCGGTCTGGTCCCGGTCTCAGTCCCGCTCTGGTCCCGGTCTGGTCCCGGTCTCAGTCCCGCTCTGGTCCCGGTCTGGTCCCGGTCTCAGTCCCGCTCTGGTCTCGGTCTGGTCCCGGTCTCAGTCCCGCTCTGGTCCCGGTCTGGTCCCGGTCTCAGTCCCGCTCTGGTCTCGGTCTCAGTCCCGCTCTGGTCTCGGACCTGGATCAGTCCTGGTTCAGTCCGTATGCAGCGCAAAAGTCCGGCATCGCAGTCACGGAAGTCACGTAAACGGGAAACGGCCGTTATCCGTTTTTTCCATTCTTCATTTAAACACAAAATCGAAAACTGAAAAAAACGAATCGTTATCCGTTTTTTCATTTTGGTTTTGGAGACAAATAACGAAGAAAACTGTTGTTTTTTCGTTTTCTTATTTTTGGTTTTATATTGAAAAAGGAATGAACGAATGATACACGGATTAAGCGACACATTTGACATTTTCACTGTTTTGATGATTAAAATGGGTTTGCTTCATATGAACTTTGCACAAGAAATGGGTTAACAAAGACTTTTTAGCATCACAGCCATGATTTTGCCATTATTTTTATTGGACCGTATCAAATTAATTTAGAATACTGTATATCGTATCGAATCGAAAGCTCACTGTATCGCAATATATATTGTATTGTGGCCTGTGTATCGAGGAGTGTATCGTATCAGCAACTTCGTAATGATACCCAGCCCTGTTGGACATGGGCAGTAGATGTGACATACAGTACGTAGAAGTAAATCCAGCTTTGTTACCTAGCAACCATAATGCAAACGAGGGCCAAAACTTGTCTAATTTACACGATAATTATGATTAGAAAAATAAAAATAGCACCTCAAACACCTCACTTTTGTTAAATCAGTGCTTGTAAATTGTCCGTACAGTTTGGATAGAACGCTCTGTGTTGAGCTACTTCTTGTTTTTTCCGTTTTTTGCTCAAATTTTTCTACAAACTGCCACTAAAATTATATAAAACGACATATTTACTACATCTACTTTCCCACTAAACCAAGTAATAATTAGAAAAAAACATGAAAACCTGTCATATGCACTTTAAAGCTGCACTGTGTAACTTATCTTCACTGTTATTAGATGTTATCGTTTTTTTCCTGGTATGTTACACAGTATGACATTAAGCATATCTGTTTCCATGGTAACAGGCACGTATAACCACCAGGCCCAGTTACAGGTCAGATCTGCGGAGATGTTACCCAACCCATGTTTTTTTTTTTTTTTTTTGTTGAGCTTATGAGCAATAAAAGCAGCTGTAAATGTGTTAAATGTAAGACTTCAGTTTAATGTCATACTACGGAACATTCAAGGCAAAGCAATAACATCTCCATGGAAACAAGCAGGTGCCAAACAACCCACAATGCACCTTTAAGTATCTGATGATCCGCATGTACCTTATGAGCAGCCGAGTTCCCTTCGGGGCAGATCGTGGTAGAGGCCGGCGAATTCTCCTCTGGTGTGACAGCGGCTCCTGACCCGGCTCCAGGAGGGGGCGCTCTGCTCAGCCCGTCCACCCGCTCCACGAAGGCCTGCAGCTGGGAGTGAAGCGCCTGCAATCGGCCGGTCAGGGCTCCCACCAGGGGCCGGTCAGAGAGGTCAGACAGCTCGGAGATCTGGGGAGGAGCAGAGGGAGCGTCAGAACAGAAGAGGGGAGATGATACAGCCAAGAATAAAAAAGCCAAGCAGGGAAAAAAAAAGTAGAGGGTAATAGAACTAGATTTAAACTTAGACTTGGACAAACTTTATGTAACAGGGAAAATTATGATGTGCAAAATGATGGGTCTGAATTCTGTCAAAGCAAATGTTGGGTGCACCATGAGAAAATGGACAAACAACTGTTCGTTAGAGCTGAAATGTGAACTGAAATAAATTTAAATAAAAGAAAATGATGGGTGGGACATTAACACATTCATTACGATTGATTCATTAATTACAAAAAAAGGAATGCATATTATCGTATTTATACGGAAGCCGAGAGGGGTCACAACAAACGCAAACGCCGCAACAAATACAAATGCGACAACACAACAAAAAAAGGCACAACAAACCAAAAAAAAGCCACAACGGAAATGACCGCGGGACTCTATTTGAATGCAAACGGCGCAACAAATACAAAAGCCACAACACAAACGCAAATGCCGCAACACATTAAAAAGCCACAACACATTAAAAAGCCACAACACATCAAAAATCCACAACAGAAGTGACCGCGGGACTCTATTTTCCGACGGACCGATCAAGCTGCAAGTGAAGAAGAAGAACTACAACTTGAAAAGTAAAGGAACGGAGAAGTTGGAAACGTAAGTAAAAGTAATTTATTGTTTTATCATTATTCGTTTCACGTTGTAGTTCTTCTTCACTTGCCGCTTGATCGGTCCGTCGGAAAATAGAGTCCCGCGGTCTTTTTAATGTGCTGTGGCTGTGGATGTTGTGGCTTTTTAATGTGTGTGCTTTTTAATTTGTTGTGGCTTTTTAATGTGTTGCGGCATTTGCGTTTGTGTTGTGGTTTTTGTATTTGTTTTGTTTTGTATTTGTTTGCATTAAAATAGAGTCCCACGGTCATTCCGTTGTGGCTTTTTTTGGTGTGTTGTGGCTTTTTTGGGTTTGTTGTGGCTTTTTGTTGTGTTGTCTCATTTGTATTTGTTGTGGCGTTTGCGTTTGTTGTGACCCCTCTCGGCTTCCGTACATTTCGCATGCCAAACAACGCGGAATGTTTGTCAGTGCACCATGTCGTAGTACGCCAATTATACTGACGCACACAATTCTGACTACAATAACAGTGGTGTAAGAAAGCGCTCTGGGTCTGCTGGACGGTAGATTTCTATTAAAAACTACTTGATGGAAGTATTCACAAAGGTGTTGTTTATTCCAGACTGTACGGAGAAGAGATTGCAAATCAACCTCAATCCTACAATACTATTTAAATGCAAAACATGGGACAGCGAGCATAGAAACTGCTGGAGCTGTTCTGGTCCGAGTACAAACAAACAAAAGGTGTCAGCAGCCCAAACTCCAACAAATGACGGGCTTCAGGAAGAAAATGAGTCCACTAAAACTCATTTACATAAAATAAATGTTGCTTTTGGGGTCAATATTGTTATGCGACTAATTGAGATTAATTAATTACAAAATCTGTAATCTATTTTAATGAAGTCCCGCCCCTAAAAAAAAAAAAAAAAAAAAAGAAAAAGAAATAGCAAGTTCTGCAGTTATTTGGCTCCATGAAAAACAGAGCTGGTTCATTTAAATCTGTTTGCATTAGTCTAAAGTTCACAGTCCTAACATTATTCTGTAATTATTCTGCGTGATGAGTTTATGAGCAGGTTTCACAAGTTTCAGAGGTCAGAGCGGAGTTTTGCTGTCACGGAAATCCTAACAACAACTAGCGTGCTAAGAGCGCACTTCCTGATTCACAGGAGAAAATGCAAGGAACAGGTTGAAAATCAGAACTGCAGTTTTTGACCAGAAGTCAGTGGACCTGTCTCTTTAATCAAGGTTAAGTTGTGTTTATTTGTACCTTTGGGTAAATTTAAGTTTGTAGTGGTTAAAATGTAGAATATTTATGTATCTGTACTTTATTTACTTACTCCACTACATTTTTGAACTGAAAAGTAAAAGTACTTTTTATAAGATTTGAGGGGTTAAATGGGTACTTAAAATGATTTTACTTAAGTAGAGTTTTACTTGAGTAACTTTTTGCCTCTGTATCTGTACTTGTACTTAAGTAACAAAAGTACCGTATTTTTCCAACTATAAGGTGCACTTAAAATCCTTTCATTTTCTCCAAAATCTACAGTGCGCCTTATGTATTAATTCTGGTTGTGCTTTGTGACCTCAAACCGATTTGGTACACAGCGCTCAAAAATCTGTCAAAATGTTTTAGTACGACTTTGGTAAACTACAAAGCCACACTGCTTGATGGATTGTCAGGGCATTACGGCTACCGTAGTCAGGAGCCTCACGGAGTCTGACAGAAGCTGACCGCATCAGCGCACAAGAAGCGAGCTGTTTTTTCAGCACTTATAGTTTAAGCAAATGAGCCATGTGGCTTTAAATTTTGTTTCTGTAAAACGTAAACAAATGTGCACAAAGCTGCATTAAACACATTATTACTCTATGTATATTTGAGTCCTCCTCATAGGAAATAATTCACCACATTCACCAAGACAGGGAGGCAACGTCGGGTAAATTACGCCACGTTCTGCCTGATCTGATCGTGGATGCCTGGTCTAAGGGATCAGTCTCAAGTGTCGTCCATTTGTTTCGGTTAATGCGCTTTATAATACGGTGCACCTTATGTATGAAAATAGATGAGAGAATTCAACATTATTGATATTGCGCTTTATAATCCAGTGCAATTTATAGTCCAGAAAATACGGTACTTCATCCACCACTGGTTATTAGTTGCACTATATTCACCATATTCAAAAATACAATGGCTACAAGGATGAAACTGTCGCTGTATTATCTTTTTTCTTCAGTGTTTGAATTTTAAAATGTTTCCTAATATTAAATAATGCTCCACATGTGTCAAAAGATTGTCAAAATTTCTCAAAAATCATACCTGGCTGTTGTTACTTTGTGATTTGTCCTGATCACATGACTCGGCTGCCTCCTCCTGATTGGCCGCCTCCTCTTTGCTCTCACTGGTGCAGACTTTGTGGTAGAGGGAGGGCGACTGGAGGCAGCTCGACTCCGGGGAGATCAGGAGCTGGATCGCCGTCGAGACCAGTCGAGCCTGGTCTCTCATGGACAGCAAAGCATCATGGTCCTTCTGCACCAGCGGGATGGGAAGCGAGGAGGCGGAGTCAGCGCTGTCCTCGCTCTTGCGTTTGTGTTCTTTCAAGTCGGAGGGGTCGGTCTCTCCCCCTACTGGCTCTCGACGGGATGGCGGGCTGGAATAAACAAACATACATCGAATTATTTGTACTAGATTAGGAAAATAAAGCATTGATGATACAAAATAATGGTAGTATAGGAAGATAATATAGAAAAACATTTAATTATTTTCCAGCTTCAGCGGTCCCTGCACTAGAACCTTGTGCACACCATCTACTGGCAGAAGATAGTATTACCTAGGAAAAAAACTAACGATTAAGCAACATGCCTCGACTTGTTAATGTAAGCATGCAGTTGTAATGAACACGATTTGACAGAAATGCTCAAAATGAGTCTAGTGATGATTTATGGACTTAAAGACTGCACAGGGTTTCTACCTGTGACGCAACAATCCTGAGAAAGTTCAAACCCAGTATTTTCACAGGCAAAGCACCTTTTACAGAGGATTACGGAAACCAGGACTGTCACGACAACAAATATCAAAGCACGATTTATTGCTACTTAAATAAAACTATAAGGAATAATATTGAAACTATGACAGCGCCATCTGCAGTCCGATTTCCTCAGGACAGTATATGAGGTGTGTGAGAGTAAAAAGTTCCCTCATCCCGTTTTTTTTACTCTCATACACCTGGGATACTGTCCTGAGTTATCGTTATATTTATATATCGTGCTTCGATATTTGTTGTCGTGACAGTCCTAGTTTCAGTAAACCTCTGTAAAAGGTCCTTTGCCCTTTGAAAATACTGGTTTTTAATTTTCTCAGGATTGTTGCGTCACAGGTAGAAACCCTGTGCAGTCTTTAAGTCCGTAAATCATCGCCAGACTTGTTCTGAGCATTTCTGTCATCAAATTGTAATCCTGTTTCCACCGGTAGGAAGACCGAGCCAAAACCTTTTTAAATCAGCTGCTCATACATGTCACAGCAACATGACGTGACCACTCTGAGGAAGATCACTAGTGAATAGTTGAAACGGTAAGGGATGAAAACAAACCCTTGGTCTGAAAAAAGAACCTAATAGCATAAATTATTGGAAGATCAAATGAACCTGGTTTTACGAATACTGAAACTATTTTATGCCACTGATACAAAAAACATAACACAATAAAGCACGAAAATCCCAGCAGCCCAATTTTTAAATAGATGGATAGCAGAGTGAAGCAATAAGACATCATAGAAGCAACATCCGCTTCAACCCTTTGTAACTCAAATCTTATCATAATACAGCAAAAATAACAGAAATCTCATAAGACAAATGTGGATAAATGTACCCACTGCATCCAAAATATATTGTTCCAGTTATCATATATTGACTGATTAATCAATATAGTAATTATTGTGACCAATGTGACTGCTGCAAAATACAACTCAAGGCATGTTTTTGATGGGGAAACAATGTAAAAAAAAAGAAAAAGAAAAGGTTGTACTTTTTATATATATGTATTTTTTGTACCTTGGCAGACACTCAGCGGAGTCCCCAGCCTCGGCGTCGGTCTCCAGGTTGAGCCTCAGGGTGGAGGGGGCCGGCGAGGAGGCGGGGTTATAAGAGGCCAGGTCGCACCTCTGCAGGTTTGACAGGAGCACTCTGTTCTCGTACTGCAACTTCTTCACCTTCCCACTCAACTCCCCAATCTGCAGCCTGGCCAATCGCAGCTCCTCTTCCTGCGAGGGGGCGTTGACGTTTATAAGCACCGCCCCTTCCTGTATGGAGTGCACCGGGCTGTCGTTGAGCAAGCCGTCCGTCAAAGAGGCCAGCGAGTTGGACGACAGGGAGGGCGGGAGCTCGGATTTGTAGCGGTTGATCTCGTTCATGAGGAGTTTGTTCTGCTCCTCCATCTCCGTCAGGGAGCGTCGCAAGAGCTCGGCCTCCTCCTCCACGAACTGCAGGTGGCGCTGTAGCTCCATCACGTTTTCAGAAGAAGCTCCTCCCCCGAGAACCATGGCCCCGCTCCCGACACCGAGTCCGGGGCTGAGGCTGCCTCCGATGCCTGCCAAGTCTGGAGAGATGTCTGGAAAAACAAAAGTAGGGTACATTTTTAGGCTACGTTCAGACTGCAGCCTGAAGTGACCCAAATCTGATTTTTTCGCCTCTTTGCAACCTGTATCTGATCTTTTAATGACAGTCTGAACGACACAGATCCAATTTTTTCAAATGCGACCCAGGTCACGTGGATATGTGGTCCTAAAACCAATACATATCTGATCTTTTGACATGCAACTTCCGTCTGAACAGTCAGGTCGCCTTCATCCCACCTACACGTCAGGCTCAGAGTCTAATCAGTGGAGGGAAAATGAGGTTAGCGAGTTTATTAATATTTGACGGGGTTGAAATGATTGCAAAGAAATGTCAGAGCATTGCTAAAGGCGGTCCTGGCTCCAATGTCAACAAAAAATAAAAATCCTGCGAGCCAACTACAAGGAGGCTAAAGACTCAAACAAACGAAGCGGCCGTGGACATGTAACCTGTCCATTTTACAAAGAACTGGACCGTATTTTGGGAGACAAGCCCAGCGTTTAGGCAACTTCCGTAAACACTGAGCACACTCGCTGCGTGTGATGTCGTCGTGTCCTCCAATGCGCATGCGGGACACTTTTTAAACTTCACACTGGAGATCACATACAAGTCGCATTTAATTGGAAATGTGAACGACCTCACAAAAAAATCTTATTTCACAAAAAAATCGAGCACTAAGCCCTGCAGTCTGAACATAGCCTTAGATATAGAGACTTGTATCCCAACTAGAATCATTTAGTATTAGGGACTGGCCCGATGTTTTTACTGAAAACAATCGTGGTCATAAAAAAGACAACACTTTTTACCATTCAAATGAGAAAATTTCCCTATGAATAATTTGTGAGCATTTGCATGGAGAGAGTTAATTCAAATGTAAGTTTTGTTTTGTTTTCTTTTCTTTTTTTTACAGTAACTCAGGCAAAAAGCTCTCAAAAAATTTCAAGGACAATTCTGCCATAGAATTCTGAACTACTCTCCAGCTCATATAATTAAATGTGTTGAATGAAATCTGCAAGTAAGTATAAAGTCCATGGACGCATTAGCCAAAACTAAATAATTATCACAATTTCAAGCACCATTCTCTGTGTAGAGCAGGGATCTCCAACCTTTTTCCTCAGGTCAGCTACTTTTACAAAACAAAAATGCCAGAGAGTTACACATTTTAGCGGCCGCAAGAAATTGAGACGATTATGAGAAAGAGGGAGAGCCTTTGGGAACAGTTAGATGCCTATAAGTAAACCATTGTCCATTTATTAGCGCACAGAGTTGGGCTTCAAAATGACACGTGCACAATAGTAAAAGGCTTTTAATTAACCACTCTTTTGTTATTCAGCACAATAGGATAATTCCGAAATCCCTTGGCGAGCTACTTGGAAGAGAGTGGAGATGGTTGGAGACCCCTGGTGTAGAAAGTTATTACAATTCTCCTCAACTGACTATTAATAACTAAATCAAAATGTTACGGATTACAAATATTTTCTTTTTGAAGGAGCCGGCTGAGTCCAGGTGACAGAGCAGATGTGCGCTCTTACCCTGCGGTCCCTTCATGTCGTCCATCTCTGCTCTCAGCCCTCTGTTCTCCACCTCCAGCTCCACGATCCTGCGGCTCAGAAGATTCGCCTCCTCCTCCACCAGCTTCAGGTGAACGCGCACCTCAGCCTCTCGTGTGTGAGGGGAGTCCGCCACCTGCACACAGCAAAAACACAAGTCAGTGAGAACTTTACTTGACTTTATTTGGTCTTTCTTTACATTTAGTTTACATTACAGGCGTACACCGAAGCCCAGATGGAGTAGGCTGAAGCAACTAGTAACACGTTTACTACAGTAACACATGCAATTATGCTCTATCTAATTGTTATATCTTCTGGCTTTGAAGATCTACAAGTATGCTTTTATTGTACCTCAAACATGGGTCAGAAAACTAAACTGGTTAAAGTCAGATTGATATGTGTAGCTCTTAAGAACCAGGAAGAGGTGGAACGTCATGACGAAAGAGTCATTACATAGATCTGCATTGTATTTGTTGTATAATTTATCGATTGTTGCATATTTGACCTATTGTATTGAAGTATGGGGAAGTGCTTGTAAAACTTATGAGGAGAAAATTCAGTTTGTCGACTGGACAAAAGTTAGTTTGGTTGAAGACGTTTCGCAGCTCATCCAAGCTGCTTCTTCGGTTAAAGGTTGTATGGAGGATTTTTTTGTTTTGTTTCAAGTTGTCAATGATAGATTATAGAGATGCAGTAGCCTTGTAATTATGATGACCAAAAAAAAGAGAATAAAAATTCATCAACTCTGGACGTGGTGGGGCTAAACATTTGCCAATAGATAACGACACTGCCTCGTTATCTGTGAGCTGACAGGCTGTCAATCAAACTCCCTACGTTTCTAGTGTAACTGACTTGCCTGCGCGCCGCCGGTACGTGGTTTACGTACGACTGTCACGCAGTCCACAGACGCAAGACGCACAGACGCTGTTTACTCCACAAACGCAACAGTTCTTAGCGGCTTTTTTTTGACCTATATCTTCCTCGCAGTTCGCACAAAGTTTGTTGCAATGGCGACAAGAATCCAGGAGCAGTTAGCCGCAAAAGAAAGTCCGTTTTTGAGGTCACTGAAAGAAGAAGACAAGGGGAAAAGCAGCGAAGCCAAACTAAGGTGATTCTTGAAGACTCATTCCAGCGATGGCGCAACTGAAGCAGACGCAGGGTCTAAAGACTGACGCATTGGTCGCCAAATTACTCCTGGACAGGAAACTTCTGCTTATTATGAAAACGTACTTTATTTCCAAGAGCTAGACAAACGTTTTTCAGGACACGAAAGCGATATCCTATGTCTGAAAACGTAATTTTCAAGGCAAAGAAAGAGTCCGCTTGCTGCTGCGTGTTGTAGCTTGTTCATTCACACTGAATCTCCGCGCAACCTTCTCTGCACCCCTTTCCTGCTCCTGTCCCCGCTGCCCGTTCCACTCTTCTCCCTGCTCCTCACTTCTCCGGACACGGAATCTCCGCGCACTGCTCCCCTCTCCTCTCTCCTCTCTCCCTGCTCCGCTCTTCTCCCTGCTCCTCACTTCTCGTCCGCGAACGAAATGTCCGCACACCCGCTCCCCCCGCTCCTCACTTCTCCGCCTTGTCTAACCAACACTGTAGTTAGTTGTTTACAAGTCATGTGCAGTGCACCGGCTGTAAACAAACCTGTTTCTGGCGTAAAGAGGAGGCGGGAGGAGGCGTTTCTACGTAGGAGCTGTAGGGGAGGGGGGGTGGTTTCACGCATGCGCAACATTTGAAAAAGGACAAACAGTTGCTGGATTTCTCGTTCCTTGGAAAATCCTCTATACAACCTTTAACTTTTGTCCAGTCGACAAACTGAATTTTCTCCTCATGGATTCTACCTGGACGACTGAGGGATTCTTCACACATCTTGTAAAACTTATGTTAATCCAATTTTCCTTTTACAGAAAAAACTGTAAGAATCATCAGCGGAAGTGGATACAGACTCAACAAACCCAATATTTATACAGTTAAAGGGGCAGACGATTCATGTGATGCAAGGTTATTTTTTTTTCTATCGACACAAACATTTACATCGACAGTCTGGTGTAATAATAGATTTTCTTTGGCTCTTTTGTGGAGTGGGTAAGAGTGTTTTTAGTGGCAGGAGAACTATGGCCATTGACATGCACTAGCCTACGACCTCTGCAAATACAAGGACTGGATGGAATATTTAAAAAAGTGTCTCCACACGTCTCCAACACTCTGGCTAAATAATAAATGAGGTCCTATGTCCAAAATTCTGAACTTTAAAGATACTGAAATTCAATTAATTGGTAGAACTTCATGTTTTAAAATAATGTATGAAGCAAATCAGCAGATCTTGCCCACCAATCTCCAAAGAAAACTTACAAAGAAAGGAAGTCATTATAATTGGAAGCAATTGAAATCTTTAAAAAATCCAGGTTCACAACAACAACAGTGGAAAAATGTGTTTCAATCAAAGGTGTCAGTCTAAAAGAAAAACTCAAAGCTTCAAAATCTATTCAAGTGTTTAAAAGAAACGTCAAACATGATATGCTAAAGAAGTATGATGTATGAACTGTCCTTTTATGCCAATTAACAAGTATTTAATATTGTGTATGTCACGTAAATATGTTGTTTATAACTGTAGTTGGAACTGTTGAAGTGTTACAAATGTTTTATTTTGTGTGAAAAGGCAAAGGGTAAATATTACAAGTCTAAACTTCTTTCTGCTCCTTTTCATTCACATTGACGCATGAAAGATAATTATTTTGTATTCATCTTTTATGAACAAAACAAATAAAAGAATGAAAATAAAATGACAAATACTTCAAGCTGATTGGCTCAAGTATCACAACAGGGGAACAAGCTTAAAAATCCATCTTTTGTTAAATCCAGTTGAGAGAAAAGCGCAGACGTCTGTCCCTCCACAAACGCACAAAGCACTTTCTCTCTGAGAAAATAGTCTCCATCTCTGCTAAAATAGGCTGAAGTACATCTGCCAGCGCTGCTATGTTTGATTTGATTACTGTGGGCACTTCGGCCTTGGTTTCAGCCCAAACCCAAAACCCGCTGCCCTGTGATTGGTCTGAACCGCTGATTAACTGGGCAATCATATCAGCGGGCGTTCAATCATTCTAATTGTTTCGATGAATAACATTGTTTTATAGTCCATCTGAGACGATACTTAGCTGCAGCCTTCATACCACACACGTAACAATAATTAGGGAAATAAATGATTAAATCCATCTCTGAACCTCCCTCTCTCCTCTTGACCAGCTCTTACCTCACTCTCTTGCGTCTCACTAATTCTCTCATTAATCTTCACCAGCGCTTACATCAGTCTCTCTGTCCTCCACGTTGCCCCGGATTTATACTTGTCTTCAAGCATTCCCTGTGGGCGTGATGCTAACGAAGCTCCGTGACACTTTAAAGGGGCATTGCGTAACTTTTCTGATGCGCCGCAAAAAATGTAATCTAGCCAAGTTAAGATTGACTTGAATTAAAGAAAGTTTTATCATGATTTGAGTAAATTTCGCTTGACAAGTTCACATCGTAGAAACCGTCTGACCTCACAGCATTAGGATTCGTTCGCTTGACGATAGACGGGTACTTTTTTTATTCAACCAATCGCTGCTATTTGGTTGTGATCAGTGTTGGGAGTAATGTATTATAAAAGTAATGTATTACAGTAATGCGTTGATTTTTGCTGTAACGCAGTAATGTAAGGCATTACAGGGGGAAAAATTGTAATATTTTACTTGGTACAAATGTGAGTAACGCGCGTTACAATGCTTTTTTAACCTGGATTGAAGTGGTGGGTTTTTCTTCATAGAAATTCGCTAAAATCACCGTGAAATCAGCAGCGGTGAAACGCCGGAGACGCGGCCGGATAAACCTTCAGTTAACCGCGGGTGAAAGGACCGACCCAGAACTCTACGCTGTTTAGACCTGGTTTAGACCTGGTTTAGACCTGAGTCACTTCTGGTTTAGACCTGGTTTAGACCTGAGTCACTTCTGGTTTAGACCTGGTTTAGACCTGAGTCACTTCTGGTTTAGACCTGGTTTAGACCTGGGTCACTTCTGGTTTAGACCTGGCTTACAGTCGTCCCTCGCTCTAACGCGATTCACTTTTCGCGATCTCGCTGTTTCGCTGATTTTTAAAAAAAAATTTTTGTGCAATTTTGCATGCCTTTTGTTTTTAGTGTATGAACACGTATTGCGTTCCTCCTGCTGCGTCCTGATCGGCTGAGGAACTCCTGTCTCCTCTACAGTACAGAATGTGTTCAGCTGCCAAATTTAAATAAATGTTCAATCTGTATCAGTGTGCTTCTGAAGTGCTGTATGTCTGCAAGTTTTCTCTCCGACAAAATCCACAACGTCGACGAAACGTTCTGCACCGACAAAGGCTCCTGCGCTCACACCCAAAAGACAGAGGACGATGCAAACCATCGCACAAAAAGTTGGACTTCTGGACACACTGAAGGAAGGTTAGAAGTTACGCGCTGTAGCAGAGTCTTGCAACCGGGTCTTGTACCCGTAAAAATAGTTGCTGAAATTAGGACCGCGAGCCCCCACAGCAGGGTCCATAAAGAGCGATTGGGCGACAGCCGCTCTTACTCCATGAGGTGCGGAGCAAAGCCGATCCTTTATCCTGCGTCACCTTCGAGCCTGTCCTGACAGTGAGTCTGTTTAACAGTCCTAGTTCAGTTCTGGTTTAGTCCTCCTCTTCAGTCCTGGAATCAGTCTGAGGTTAGTCTGTTATAGTCCTGGTTTAGTCTGGTTCAGCTCTGGTTTACTGGTTTAGACCTTGTTTACGTTAGTCCATATACGGCTCAAAAGTTCAGCTTTTTCGCAGTTATTTTGGTGAAGTAACTTAAAGTAATGCAATTAATGTAATGCCTTACATTTTAAATGCAGTAATATTGTAATGTAACGAATTACTTTGAAATGACAGTAATAAGTAATAAATAATGCATTACAGTTTTAAAGTAACTTGCCCAACAGTGGTTGTGATGTATGTAATGCGCCGCTAACGGGGTTAACTGGTATATTAAGCTTTTCCCAAATCCTGTAGGAAGAAGGGTAATAACGTCTTTTCCCTTGATAAAATTCACTGAACATTCTCTTTGTCTTGGCTTTAAATCCTCGATCTCGGGAATCGTTGCCAACACTGAATGTTTGGCTCTTTTTGCGAACCATCTAGTGTATTCTGATTTCTGACCTAGTCGCCGGAGAGAAATGAAATTGAGCGAAGGCACTACTGTAGGTGGTGTCAGCCTGGCTAAAAATGATCTGCCAGTGGAATTAGACTTTTTGTACTTAAAATATGAAAATACAACTTGGTGCACTTAAAATAAGAAAAACAACAACTCTTTGCCCTTAAAATAAGAAGTGTGAAGAATCCCTCAGTCGTCTAGGTAGAATCCATGGCGAGGAGAAAATTCAGTTTGTCGACTGGACAAAAGTTAGTCCAGTCGACAAACTGAATTTTCTCCTTGCCTTAAAATAAGAAACAAAACTGAATGTTGCTTAAATTAAGAAAACACACTTATTCCATCGGTAAAATCTACCCAAATAAAGTCTTAATTTAATTTTAATTGACCTAGATATTACTTTTTTGCGGTGTAGAGGCTTCGTCAAATAATTCTCTCCATTAAGATGTTATTGTTTTGTCTGGAAAGTTTCCCAGTATGGCATTAAACCTTTCTATCGTCATGGAGACCAAACCAGATCAAGTTATAGGTCAGATCTGTGGCGAGGCGACCCCGCTCACAGTCAGAATGCCTGTTTTTCAAGGTATTTTTGAGCCATAAAACCAGCTGTAAGTGGATAAATATTTAGCAGAGATGTTTACACCTTTCAGTAACAGATAATACTCCCTACAACTGTACAACAATTCACCCTAATGTAACAGTTAACTCTATGTCCTGTCAATCATCATATCATTGTTGCACTGTCTTCCTCTTGTACTGTTTATAGCTGAGATTTTATATTTTATTACTTATTTTTCTATTTTATTTTGACTTCTACATATACATTTATATAATTATGCCTTATTTCACACCAGTCTCTTGCTATCTTTTTTGCTATTTATATTTTTTACTCTTTTTCTATTATATTATGTTGTGATGTGTGACCTACTGTGTCCAAATAATTTCCCTTGTGAATCAATAAAGTTTGTCTAAGTCTAAGTCTAAGTTTAATGCCATACTGTGGAACATTCCAAGCAGAGCGATGATGGATCCACAGAAACAAGCAGGTGACAGAACCCCAACCAAAAAGTTACAGTAAAAGTGCACCTTTAATCTGAGTTTTATTTTACCACAGTCAGACCATAAACAACTGACTTAGCTGGAAGTATAATAGCTGAGCTGATGTATTGTTTAAAAAAGTTTCTCACACGTAAAATTAAAAAAGTTTTTCAGTTAGTCACTCTCACCTTTCTTGCTGAAAATCGACCACCTAAACAGGACCGTGAACGCACCGCACAGTTTCCCCAAAATGTGTTATTCAAATCCATTTAGAACTTTTTTCTTGAGTCTAATTTAAAACTTTTTTGACAGCCTTTGCTATTGTGTGTATAGTGTCTATATTACGGATGTGCAAAAATATCAAAATATCGATATATCGTATTGTTTAATGTGATGATACAGTATCGATATCGTGGGCTGCTGTATCGATACATCACCAAGAGTATAGTTTGGTACATTTTACTAAATTATTTTGTTGCTGCGCTACAGTTTTGTTGTTTGTTTAGAGAAAGGAAACTTGTTTATGTGACACATTTGACATTTTCACTGTTTTGAAGATTAAAATTGGGTGTGTTTCATTTTAACTTTGCACAAAAAGTGGTTTAACAAAGACTTTTAGTATCACAGCCTTTGTTTTTTTATTGAACCTGTATTGAACTGATTTGAAATATATCGTATTGAACTGAAAGTGCACTGTATTGAGATATGTATTGTATCGTAGCCTATGTATCAAGGTATTTATCGTATCGTAGCCTATGTATCGAGGTATGTATCGTATCGTAGCCTATGTATCGGGATATGTATCGTATTATGGTCTATGTATCGAGGTATGTATTGTATCGTGGCCTATGTATCGAGGTATGTATCGTATTATGGCCTATGTATCGAGTATGTATCGTATCGTGGCCTATGTATCAAGATATGTATCGTATCGTAGCCTATGTATCGAGATATGTATCGTATTATGGTCTATGTATCGAGGTATGTATCGTATCGTAGCCTATGTATCAAGAAATATACCGTAGCCTATGTATCGAGGTATGTATCGTATCTTATGGCCTATGTATCGAGATATGTATCGTATCGTGGCCTATGTATCGAGATATGTATCGTATCATGGCCTATGTATCGAGATATGTATCGTATCATGGCCTATGTATCGAGATATGTATCGTATCATGGCCTATGTATCGAGATATGTATCGTATCATGGCCTATGTATCGAGATATGTATCGTATCATGGCCTATGTATCGAGGTATGTATCGTAGCCTATGTATCGAGAATATGTATCGTATTATGGTCTATGTATCGAGGTATGTATCGTATCGTAGCCTATGTATCAAGAAATATACCATAGCCTATGTATCGAGGTATGTATCGTATCGTGGCCTATGTATCGAGATATGTATCGTATTATGGTCTATGTATCGAGGTATGTATCGTATGAAGCCTATGCAATGAGGTATGTATCGTATCGTGGCCTATGTATCGAGATATGCATCGTATCGTGGCCTATGTATCGAGATATGTACCAGCAACTTCTTAATGATACCCAGCACTAGTCTCCATGGTAACCGCTGAACATTCCACCATAGAGACCCACGCGGAACACCCGCAGCAACATCAGCGTCGTCGGCCCACGCGCTCACCTCCTCCACGGTGAGGCTGGCGTCCACGTCTCCGTACAGCGAGCGGAACTTGGACAGCTCCTCCCTCATGGCCTCGCTCTCCTTCACCAGTTTGGTCAGCTTCTTGCACATCATGGCCGACTCCTCTTTGGCGAAGTGCAGCTGGCATTTCAGGTCCGAGCTGTCCTCCTGGAATACACCGAGAAAGAAAAATCTGCATGTGATTAACTGGAATCAGACACGTAGTTGTTTACAGCGTCTATACTGCGATTGCGATGTTATAATGTTGTTTCCTCATTAAAAAAGTTTTGTTTCGTTTCATTCACACATGTTTAACACGCACTGAATAGTTACTTCTTTTCTCAAACTAAAAAACATAAATTCAACAGATGGAATTTTAAAATTGCCTAGAACTTTATATACACAGAGGTTTTTTTATAGGATCTTTGGGGAAATATCTTGGTTTTAAAGCCTTACAATAGCAGCCTTATACCAAAGAATTCAAAGGTTTCAGGCTGCAAACTTTCAGCTTTCTTATGTAACTTTATGGTTTAGAATATTAATGTTCTTATTCAGGTATTCCCTATAACTTGATTTTCACCATAGAGATGTTCTTTCATTGCCACAGCAGTGTTTCCCAAACTTTTTTTCTGGGGACCCATATTTTAAAAATCACAGACCTTCGCGACCCAAGAAATTATTTGTAAATCACAAAATAAAGGTGAATTTGACCATTACTGAACATTAATGAGGATATTTTATTGTTGACTGAGCTTCTCTCTGAACAATTAATATTACTCAAGCTTTAAACAATGAAAAACAGTCATTGAACCAGCAATAAAAGGATCCATAAGTCGCCTATTTGGACATTAAATGCAGCCCATTTCTTTTTCTTTTCAACATTCAGTTGAGCCAGCAATACTGGAACACAATAGTCACTAAAATAATTACAAAAAGATTAGAAATTATACAAAAATGTCTTAATAATTCAATCTTCATGCAAATTGTGACAAGGTGACCCAAAAAAAATCTCTTGCGACTAACCTGATGGTCCTGACCCAGTCTTTGGGAAACAATGATTCACAGTATGACATTAAATCTATCTTCCATTATTCAGTTATGGGCGTTTTTTCTGCTTAAAAACTACATTCAAAAACATGCCTGGAGTCACAGTAGTTTTTTTTTTCATTCTTGTATGTTTGAGTAAAGCTTTATTATTAGTCTCAAGCTCAAAATGCTCTGTTCCACCTTGTGATGTCATCTGGTAATCTAGGAAGTGTTATTTAACTCCACAGACCTTCACAAGAATCATTTAGATGATTTTAGATTTTTAGATCTGGAATTGATGATCTCTACTGAACAAATGGTAGCTGTTAACTTAAAACTTCATGACATGGTTTAAAGGGACAGTTCAGAATTTTGTATTTGGGACCTCATTTCCTAGTGAGCCAGAGTGTTGGAGACGTGTGGAGACATGTTTTTTTTTTTTTTTTTTTTTTTAATTCCATCCAGTCCTTGTATTTGCAGAGGTCGCTGGTGCTAGGCTAGTGCATGTCAATGGCCATAGTTCTCCTGCCACTAAAAACAGTCTCATCCACTCCACAAAACACTCACAGCAAATATTATTACACCAGACTGTCGATGTAAATGTCTGTGATGTTAGAATAAATTTAGAAGTAAAACCAACCTTGCATTTGAAGTATTTATGTCTGAGCAGCAGCGAGTTGTACTCCTTGATAGAAAGTTTGGCAGTGGCGGACTGATATATGAGAAAATAGTCCCTCAAGATGCAACGATTCATGCGATGCAAGGTTAGTTTTATTTCAAACATTATTCTATCAACACAGACATTTACATGGACAGTCTGGTGTAATAATAGATTTACTTCTGGTGTTTTGTGGAGAGGTTAAGACTGTTTTTAGTGGCAGGATAACTATGGCCATTGACGTGCACTAGCCTAGCATCAGCGACCTCTGCAAATACAAGGACTGGATGGAATACTTTAAAAAGTGTCTCCACACGTCTCCAACACTCTGGATCTCTAGGAAATGAGGTCCAAAATTCTAAACTGTCCCTTTAATGCCATACTGTGGATCATGCCAGGCAAAGTAACAACATCTCCATGGCGACAAGCAAGTTAAAGGGAATACTTAAATAAGAGCATTAATATTCAAAACCATAAAGTGACACTAGAAAGCTGAGTTTGCAGCCCGAAGCCTTTGAATTTTTCGGTATAAAGCTGCTATTGTCAGGCTTTAAAACCAGGATATTTCCCCATAGACGCTATAAAAACTCTGTATGTATAAAGTTTATACATAAAGTTCCAGGACATTTTAAAATTCCATCTGTTAAATTTATGCTCACCCTTCGACTCGCTGAACCCAGCCTGCACACAGACCGCTTTATGCCTTCAGCTAAAACGCCAACACGGGATAGTGATAGGAATATTTCACTTTAGAGCTGTTACGATGTTCACATTTCAGACTGTTTTAACCTCAGTGTTTAGATCATGCAGTAAACCTTGTAGTATCAAATAGTGCTTCATTTTCAGGACTCTTTTACAACCCTTTTACAACAGAAGACATGTTATTCCCGCTGTGGACATCTGGAATAATCTTTATACTATACTTTATTTTTATTATATGAAGTGTAGCGTTCATTTTACAGAATTTATGAGTCAAAAACCGTATAGTGGTATAATTTCGTCAAAGGTCTCAGAATAATATCGTGGGCCATCACAAGATATCGAAATATAAGATCCTTTGCTTAAATACATTGTTATGGTGCAGCTAAAACAAAGAGAACTACATAGACCATGATCCTTTGCTCTGTTTCAGTCCAATCTGCATGATGATGACAGAAAAGGCAGCTTACACAGAATATCGAAATAAATATTGTACTGTCATTGTGAGATGTATATTGTGAAAAATCCTTGTATCATTCATTCACTCGTTTTTCAAGATAAAACCAAAAATAAGAAAATGAAAAAAAATGAAAAAAACCCACAAAATTTTCTCCAAAACCAAAATGAAAAAACAGATAACGATTTGTTTTTTTCAGTTTTTGATTTTGTGTTTAAATGAATAATGGAAAAAAAAAAAAAAAAAAAAAAAAGGATAATGGATGTTTCCTGTTTTCGTGACTTAAACTGAGATGCCGGACTGAACAAGGACTGAACCAAGGACTATAGCAGGTCTAAACCAGGTCTAAACCAGGTCTGAGACCGGGACTGAAACCGGGACTGAGACCGGGACCAGACCAGGACCAGACCCGGATTGAGACCAGGACTGAGACCAGGACTGAGACCAGGACTGAGACCAGGAACAGGGCCAGGACTGAGACAGGGACTGAGACCGGGACCAGACCAGGACCAGACCCGGATTGAGACCAGGACTGAGACCAGGATTGAGACCAGGAACAGGGCCAGGACTGAGACCAGGACGGAGACTGTGACCACACTGGAACTGAGACCGAGAACTGGATCAGAACTGAGACCGGGACTGAGACCAGGACCAGACCGGGACTGAGACCAGGACTGAGACCGGGACCAGACCGGGACTGAGACCAGGACTGAGACCGGGACCAGACCGGGACCAGACCAGGACCAGACCCGGATTGAGACCAGGACTGAGACCAGGACTGAGACCAGGAACAGGGCCAGGACTGAGACGGGGACTGAGACCGGGACCAGACCAGGACGGAGACTGTGACCAGACCAGGACCGAGACACGGACCAAACTAGGACTGAAACCCGGGACCCAAGTGGGACTGAGACCAGGACTGAGACCGGGACCAGACCAGTTTAGTCCTCTTCTGGTTCAGTCCGTATGTGGCACAAAAGTCCGGCATCACAGTTTAAGTCACGGAAACAGGAAATGGCCGTTATCCGTTTTTTCCATTATTAATTTAAACTCAGATTCAAAAACTGAAAAAAAGAATCACTATCCGTTTTTTTATTTTGGTTTTAGAGAACAATAATGAAGAAAATAGCTGTTTTTTCGTTTTCTTACTTTTGGTTTTATACTGAAAAACAAATGAACGAATGACACATTGTGTAAATATAATAATATCGAATTGGTAGATTTGGATATTGTTACATCTCTAGTTCACAAATCTGAGAATCGGTCTTGAGCAGCTCCATCTGAAGAGTTTGCATGTGAGAGATCCTGCAGAAACTGACCAATCACAGAGCAGCACGGTGGTTTGTGTGGAAGACAGCGCCGAATGAACCGAAACAAACATGACGATGCAGACAAACTTCGACATATTTTAATAGAAATATGGACTATTTTGTTTTTCAAAAGGCTGCATTTGTGGACGGGGAAGATGAATGTGCTTTTCTCTGAACTGGATTTAACTAAAGTTTGATTTTTCTTCTTGTTGTGACGCTTCGATCGATCAGTGTGATGTATTCTCTCAGCACTCTGATCATTGCTTCTGAACACTTTGAGTGAGTAGAGCTTTATTCAGAGGCCACATATATCAATCTGGAGAGAGGCAGGTTAGTGAATTTGAAAATGTGTAGCTATTTCTCAGTGTTTTTCATTTTAAAGGTGCATTGTGTAACTTTTCTGGTCAGAATGAATGCTTTTCTAGGTATTTTTGAGCTATAAAACCACCTGTAATTGAATAAATGTAAGGTAGAGCTGTTTAATTTCATAGTGTGGTAGAGTCCTGCACGGGTCCATTTTTGGAGACCTGTATCCGCCCGCACCCAAACACACAAATTAAAATCTTTCTAACTGAAGCATCCATCAGAATACGAATTGAAAAGTTACGACTTCAAGAATTACAATCACGAAATTAAATGAAACAATTACGCTTTCTTCAGTACGAATACAAATTCACAGACACGACTCGATTGCCATCACTTCACTGGCTTTATTTACTGAGCAGAAGAAACACTGATCGTGATGTTGGGGTTTTGTGCCACACACACCACTGACTGAACCAGGACTGAACCAGGACTGAACCAGGGGGACTAAACCAGGACTGAACTAGGACCAAAACAGGAAACCAGGACTAAACCAGAACCAGAAGACTCACTGTCGAGACAGGCACCATCTGGTGACCGACCGCAGGCAAAAGAACCGACGTGGAGCTCTGCGCCCCCACGGAGGTAAGGGCAGCCGTCGCCCGATTGGGGTTTGTGGACACTCTGCTCCACGGCCTCGGGGTTCTCTCTCTGT